CTGCTGGGGATGTACTGCTGGGGATGTACTGCTGGGGATGTACTGCTGGGGATGTACTGCTGGGGATGTACTGCTGGGGATGTACTGCTGGGGGTTGGCATGTCGAGTCTGCATAGCTAAAACAGCACCTAGACTACTGTGTAGTGAAGAGCGCTGGAACAGGGAAAGCCAGGTGATTTCGCTCTTCCCAGACACCCTTGGAGATCGTCATTGTTCCCTGGAAGAACACAGCTACAGCGCAGCTTACCATCAACTTGGCAGTCGGGTTCATCCATATGCTTGCGACCTCTGACATTTCTGTCGAGGAATCGTACCATGTACCATGACCTGGGAGCCTGACGGAGGCTGAAAGATATCAATGGTCGCTGGTGCTACCGTCAGGAAGGCTCAGGGAGAGTTTCCCAAGCGCCGCCACAGGAGGACACTCTAGCCGAGGCTGCATCATAGCCAAGTTTTTTGTTGCGCCAACGGTGATTTATTCTCAACCCTACGGATGCGGCATGGTCAATTATAAGTGCTGCAGCGGGCATTTGCAACATTACGGCGCAAATACTTTGTATATCGACGTGATTGAGAGTCGGAAATAGCTTGTCAGATCCGCTCGTCTCTCGATTTGAGGCCTTCACGAGCAATCACATGACCTGAAGCCTCATGGCATGGCACGTGCAAGGCTTTGTTCCGACCACCACGTGACCGGGCTGTGCCTGCGCCAGGTCGGCGTGCAACTCTCAAACCTCATTTCTGCGGGGTTTCAACCCAGTTGACTTGTCCAGGAGAAACACGGTGACGACGCCTCCGCCGTGAATGAATGATTTCAACTCTCTTCTGCTGGAGCCCTTCGAATCGGGGAGTTCAAGGATTCATTTCCAGACATGCGCTGGAGGTGGAAAGGATGGCTACGTTTTCAAAGTCCGCATACGCAAGAAAGACTACGCGCTCAAGATGGTAAGCTCAATGAAACTTGTCTTTGGGATACATATTAATTCTGGAGAAGTTCAGGTTCGATCATCCCGGGTTAAACGTAACCAAACTTAAGGGAACGCAACGAAACGCCTTCTACGATCCTTTCTACATCGAATGCCGCGCGAATGGCGCTCTTATTCAACAAGGTCTTAACGGCCAGATCCTCCCCTTCTGTTACGGTCGGATCGATGTACCTACAGCTGCGGAGATACAAGTGGCTAAGCGGTTCAACATACAACCGTTTCTATAAAATAGGCCAGAGAATCTTTGCGATCAGAAAGTCCGGGGTATGCTATTTGATTGGGTTGATGGCAAGTCGCTCACACAGACTACAATCAGCTCGAACGTTGCAGACCAAGCCCGCAGATTGGTCAAGGCATTGCATAGTGCTGGGATTGCCCACAACGATCTTGCCGCATCCAACTTTCTCGCTCAGGATCAAACCCTCTACCTCATAGATCTGAGTTCATCTGTCACACTTCCACATATCAGATTTCGGCGCAGGAACTGGAAAAGAGGCAGCGAAAGATATACAATCACTGGAAGTTGGGCTCGCACTACTCTCAAAGATCCCTATCAATCAAGGTCGTTGCTTTGCCGACCTGTCTGCTACCGGCAAGGCGTCTCTAGATGATATTTTCGCTGATTCAGAGTTCATACAACACCTCTGGGCCCCGCCACAGCCTACTTGTTGGCAGCCCACGGCTCTCAGCACACAGTCCATGGCATAGCTGCTCCCAAAAGATCGAATTAACTTCGAAAAATTTCCCCTTGCGGATCATGCGAATCCATCGAAAAGAAAGGGAAAGATCCGTCGCGGCGAGCCAGCGGTAATCCCGAGATGTGTGTCCATTTGTCGCGCCAACATACGAGCAGTCGACTAAGCCCTCCGACTTCTCTCAAGGGGGTGAATCATCACAGGGGTATGCAATGTACTTGTCGGAACTTGGATAACGGAAAGCTATCTAGGTCCATTGATAAGTGCAGTTGTACTGTTTCCTTCCATCCTATGGGAGGTCGGTCTGGGAGAGGCAACGTACTTTGTCGCGACGTGGATAAGGCATCGTCGTCCCAGATGCGCGCTTGTCGACTCGACTGCCCCAAATTATCGTTCAGATTCGAGACAACAAGGCGGCCAAATGTCACACTGAAGGGTCCTGGAATATTAATCTCCCCAGATACACGGCCTGGGATCCTGTTGCGAGAACACCAAAACGCGAAGGAGACTGGTCTGACTTGGAGATCATCCTGACACCCCTGAGACGCCTGAGACATGTTGACGCCATATCCTTGGAGCTGCCGTCCAATGCCCCCGTGGAGCCCAGGATGGACGATTTCAGAACATGCCTCGTCAGCTTCGGAAATCGCAGGAAATTGTACGGTCTGGAGGTGGCGGATGAACAAAAATGGAATGATGAAGATCTCCAGGCAGACGAGGATGCTCTACACGCATGGCTCGAAGTGGCAGGATGCAGATGCTGCGACCAGGATCAGTCGACGATAGAAGCCGCTTTATACCGGCAAAGCAAGATGCGAGAATATCTCTCTAAATTCTCGCCGTCGCGGCCTGATTTTCTTTTGCGACTGGGACCCTGTTGAGGACACAGCCGTGCGCCGAATCCCGCTGGGACGGACGACGTCTGGCAGGATTTCCATTGCTGCCATCCCGTACTTTGAATTGGCACCACGCGGCATTCCTACTGATGAGAAACGCCTTCCGGTCCAGAATCGATTTCGACCTGTGGACACTGGCCAATGCTATGAAAATGCTGCGATTCAACAGTGACCACCCAACTGCCGACGTTGGTCATGCTGTGGAGCTGCTGATGACAGCGATGCTGGATACGAAACGGGCCATACGTACAGCCAGTGTCGCCAGGGCTGCAGTCACCAGTCAGACTACAGTCACGCCAGCGACAAGGACTACCGTCAGTGCTCAGTCCGCAGTCATGACTGCAGTCTCTTGGTCGTCCGCAAATGGAGTGATCTGATTGGTGGAACTAGGTTGATTCTCCGACCTGAGTAGGTAGCTCGGCGAGGCTTCCCAGTAAGGTGCAACCTTGACACTCTTGCCCCCTCTTTCTACCAGTTTTGTGCCACAGCTTGCTCGGTTCGTTCCTCTCCCTCTCCACGTCGTCTAGATCGACACAGTCGACTTTACACACAGAGAGGATAAGGTGTTGTCCATCTCTCCACTGTCGTCCATCTCTACGCTGCCCTTCGATCATTGAACCTCTCTGCGCTTCACGTGCCACCTGCACCGCTACCACGGCTTTCCAACTCAAGTTGGATCCCGCCTTGCCGTCTAAACTGGCCACTAGCGGAGACAACCCCAGGGTTACTCCTCTGCACGGCCCTTTGCCAGGATAGGCATCTTCTGCATGGTCCTTTGCCAGGATAGGTACTCTTCTGCGCGGTTCCTCGTCATGGTGGGTGCTTTTCCGGATGAGTCCCTACCACAGTGGGCACCCGTCCGCAGATTCCTCTGCCTCAGTGCTTTTTGAAAACGGGTTCTTTCACCGGGGCATTTCTGACTTCGCAGTGCCTGGCTTGCAGTTTCCAAGTTAGGCTTTGCCATTCTGGGTCTTTTCTGCATGGGTGTTTTCCCAAATGGGCTTTTTGGGAGAGGGCATTTCTGACTCTGTGGAGCCTGACACGTCTTTGCTGGGCGCTTTTCCGTATGGGTCTTTTCCGCCGCTGGTACACTTCTGCAAGGGGTCCACCCCAAACTTGATACTTCCTGAAGGGCGTTTCCCAAATGGGCTTTATTGGTGGTCGCTTCTGACACTGCGGCGTCTGACTCTCGTATTTCCCAGTTGGGCATTTCGCGTTGCACCAAATGTACGCCAACGACCAGAGGGTGACTCCGCGGAACTGGTGGATGCGCGACGAACAATGCCGAGGATGGGTGGTGTAGTTGTAGACTGGTGCTTTGTCGTCGTCGTCGTTGTCGCATGCGGGGTGGTTGGCAGAAGTGAGCTTTTATCGGTCGGAACTACGTTCTTCCGAGTCGAGGAGTACTCGGCGCTATACCTAATTTATGTATCACGTGGTATAACACTAGTCTATATTAGGTATAGCGTGTAATTTTGCCTAAACATCGCTGCTGGACTGCACAACCGAGCAAGAACATCATGGCAACAATAGGAGTCGGTCGACCTCTGGTTATTGGAGGGAAAGGACCAATGGGAGGAGACCACCACCAGAACCTGCAGATACAGCAGGCACAGCAGGGTGCATTGTGCGGCCATTCACAAGAGGCAAGCCCCCCAAACAAATTCAAGGCTGATTCCCCGGACGAAGTTGAGCCGCCTTGAGCCGTGGGATGGTTGGGGCGCTGAATCATCGTAGGCAACTTTCTCCGAGACTTGACTGACTAATCCCATTTCCATACTCACTCGCTCACTCACTCACTCACTCACTGCCTCAGTCTACGCCGGCGTATAAACATCGCACCTCGCAAGATTCACGACCGCGCCATGAACCCGGCTGAACGCACATCAACCTTCAAATCAAGACTTACGCCATAAGACTCCGATCTGACACTTCGGAGCATCCACTCATCCCCATCTCGCCATGGGCGTCAAAGGATGCTGGACCTGCAGAGGTAACCCTCTCCCACCCTCAATTCCAACGGCGCTAATCTCTGCCCAGCCCGCAAAGTGCGATGCGACGCCCACCGCCCGACATGCCACACCTGCACCAAGGCCCGCCGCGTCTGTCGGGGCTACGGAATCCAGCTGTCGTGGCCGCGGGAGGGTGACTGCAAGAGGGCCGTCGTCCTGCGACACAAGCACTGCACCGTGGAGTCCGTCGTCCGGGGGTTCTTGAATGCGTCGTGCTGGGACGTCGCGCTGGCGGCGGAACTGGAGAGAGGGGGAGTTTCTCCACGAGGTGAATACCACGACACACCACACCATACCACACCATACCACACCCCTCGAGAATTGTCGAGCTGCGCTACTTGATGCTAATGCACCTCTAGCTCGCTACCTGCGGAGCATGAGACTTCCTCGGCCGACCTATCTCTCGCCCACGGCCATCAACAGGGAAGAGTCGCATCTCCTGGGCTTCTGTACGTCGGTGTGATTCTCCCGACGCATCCACCATGACACTGACCCAACCGACCTACCCAGTCACCGAATCCCGCTCCCTGGTTCTCGGCCCGACCGACGAGGAAGCGCTGGCCAACTTCATCCTGGCCGTCGCCTTCGCCGATCCCTCGGACGCCACCAATCCGGTCCTGCAGGGCGTGTTCGCGCTCGCCGCCCTGCAGCTGCACGGAAGCATGCAGAGCCTCCGCTACAAACACCTGGCCATCCGCTCGGTGCGGGGGTCGGTCGACTGGCTGGACGAGAGGACGCTGCTGCAGAACCTGATGGCCACGATGCTGCTGTATCACTACGAGGTGAGTTCGTATATCTATATATCTCTATATACATTCCCAGTTGCTGCGCACGCACAGGCTTTATGGCGGCTAACACTGCTCAATCCCAGCTCTCGCTCGAATCCCCCTCCAAGGGCAGCTGGGTGACATACCTCTGCGCGGTGAAACAGGTCATCAACACGTCGCCGGCCACCCACAAGCTGGTCCGGCGAGAATACTCGGTGTTTCTGGACTGGATCTACTACCACGAGGTCCTGGCCGAGTTCACCATCCGGCATTGGAAAGTCCCTTACGAAGGATGCGGCTTTACCCCGACGGCGCGATCGCCCCGAGCGGCCATCGAGGGGAGCGGTCTGAAGGTAAACAGGAAGCCTGGTTGCACTTTTTCGCTGACATTAGCTGATTCTGCGCGTGGCAGGTAGAGGACAACGTTGGCTGTCCGACCGATGTGCTTCAGCTCGTGGTCCATACGTGTCGACGAGCTCTGGTTTCGCGTGTCTCCGAGACGGATCATGATGCGAACGGCGCCGCCGCTCCTGGGGAGATGGAGGAGCGCACCAAGGTGCTGGAACAGAAGATTTCCCGCGCGGTGGGCGATTACGGCCCGGTCCACGCCCCATGCGCGACCGTGATCGACCGCAACGCCATGGTCGCCGACCTCCACCGGCTCGCGTGCCTGATCTACGTCAACCGAGCCGTCCACAACGTTTCCGGGACCGAGTTCCGGCACCGGCGGCTCGTGCGGGAGGGGATCTTGCTGCTGGCCCAGATGAAGACGTGCCAGAACGCATGGCCGCTGTTCATCATCGCGTGCGAGGCGGGCGGCGACGAGCAGCGGCTCGCCATGCTGGCCGTCTTTGAGCAGAGTCGGCGCGAGCGGAGACGGCGGTCCAGTCACGTTCATCTGGTCCAGCACATGGTCGAGGCGGTGTGGCATCAGCAGGATCTCAATTCGGAGAAGAACACGGTCGACTATCTAACCATTTTCGACGCCGTGGTCGGCGGAGTCCCGTTCATCCCGCCATTTGCCTGAGTTCAGCCCGTTGTGCCGAGTGCCCATCATTTCCATCCCACTGTGCCGATATGCTGTCAATATGCTATGACTAGAACCACTCGTCCTCGTTGCCGTGGTGCGTGAGAAACTTGCCACTGTCCGCCTCCGTCAAGCCCCGAATCACCCGCAGCTGCTCCGCGACCGACTCACCGACGGAAATCGGGCCCGTGACGTTGGGATCGACCTTGTGGAATGCGTCGAGCATGAACTTGCGCACCTCCGGGTCGCCCGTGACGGCTTGAGCTGGTTTCGGTTCGAGTCAGCGACACGATCCCTCTTGTGGTGGTTTGTGTGTGTGCGTTTTACTGACCTGCATCCGTGTCCACCCACCCCGGACTCATGGACAGCGTCCTGATGCCCTCACGGGCCAGCTCGGCGCCGAATTTCGTGGTCACCACGTTCATGCCCGCCTTGGCCACCGAGTACCCCACCAGGGCGGCCAGGCCGGTGCGGCGCGTGAACTCGAGGTCGCCGCTCGGGCTGGAGATGAAGACCAGCTTCTTCTCGGCGCCGTGGCGGATGAGGTCGAGCACGGCGTGGATCACGTACATGTTGCTGAGCAGGTTGGCCTTGATCTGTTGTAATAGTCAGTCACTCACTCACTCACCCAGTCAATCGGTGAGTCAATCGGTGAGTCAATCAGTCACTCAGCCACGCTTTCTGCTGGTGATACATATCACTCAGACAGAGGAGCTAGCTACCTAGCCAGGCACCCAGCGAGATAGATAGATAGCTAGCTATAGCGAGACAGACTGGTGCTGGATGGAGGTCAGGGGCCATACATTCTCATTGATCTCCTTCTCCAGCGCTTCCTCCTTGCCGTGGCTAAAAAGGGCACCTTGTCAGTTCGATTTTCGCAAACACTCGAGCGCGGCCAGGAAAGGGACAGGGTCGGTCACTTCGTCGACTCACAAGGCAGCTGGCGCGAGCACACTGGCCTCCGGCGGGCCCGCGGCGGAGCCGGCGTTGAGAATCAACACGTCCAGCGAGCCGCCCGTGACGGCGGAGATGTCGGCCGCCGCCTGGACGAGGCTCTTCGGGTCGGCCAGGTCGGTCACGATGATGTGGATGGTCTTGCGCGTCGCGGCGAGCTGTTCGAGCGCGCCGGCCGTGGCGCGGGAGCGGATCAGCGCGAAGACAGTGTTGGCCGGGTCGGCGGACTGAGGGTCGTCAGTCCAGTCCCCTTGGGGAATCATGGATCAAGCACAGATGGAACAACAGATGGAACGACCTATGTCGCGGGAGACTCACCAGATTGTCGACGAAGCCGAGCTGCAGAGATGGCCTGTGTTAGCACTGAGGAGAGATGGCGGTTGTGGTGGTGATCTGGAGAGACTTACGCCGATGCCTCGCGTCGCGCCGGTGATGGCCCAGGACACCATTTTAGTTTGTGGATGTCAGGGAGCGATGAGTGAGTAGTGAAGAAGTGTTGAGGGGGACGAGGATGATATAAATGCAAGTTTGGATGTGAGATTCATTGACAAAGGATTGCTCTTGCGTCCTCTTATACCCATCGCGGGACCCGTGGCGATGCAGTATGGAAGCGAGGAGGCCACAGAGCGCGGGTCGTATACACTGTAATCAGTGGAAAGTATCTGCGAGGCCGTATTAATAATTCATGTGTGATAGAGACGGCCCATCGCGGACGGCGGTGGGAATTATGTAAAGTGAAGCAACTTTCTCCGAGCCTGGGACCAAGGTTGAGAAGGGTCATTGCTAAGCAACGCGTACACCGAGGACAATGGTATAAAGAGATGGTGGTCGTGTGGAATCAGTCGAAGCAGGCCGAACACTCCAGCGTTATTGTTCGCAAACAGTGTCACCGTTGTTCACAGCGTCAGCGTCCCTCTCCCTGCTTCGCTGTCAACAGGCACCTGTGCTACACGCTCACCATGTCGGCATCATTGCCCATCGCCCTTGTCTTGGGCGCCGGCCACAACGTCGGAGCCGGGGTCGCCAAAGCCTTCGCTGCCAAAGGGTACAGGATAGCCACCGTGTCGCGGACGGCCACGGACGACGCGAGCGACAGGCGCCTCCACATCCAGGCCGACCTGGCGGATCCCGAGAGCGTGGCCCGGGTTTTCGAAACGGTGCGCAAGCACCTCGGCCATCCAAGCGTGGTGGTCTACAACGGTTCGTGGCGGGCTGGTGGGGTGGATCGACAGTTGGATGCTGACGACAAGACAGGCGCGGCGGCCAAGTTCGTGAGCAAGGAGGACCCGCTGGAACTGACGCTGCAGGACGCCATGCACGACATGAAGGTCAACACGTTCGGCGCCCTCGCGGCGGCCCAAGAGGCGGCCACGTCGTTCGAGGCGCTGGGCGAGGCCGCCGCGCGCACCTTCATCTTCACGGGGAACATCACGAACCTCCGGCCCATCCCCGCGTTGTTGAGCCAGGGCATGGGCAAGAGCGCGACGGCGCACCTGGTGCAGACGGCGGCGTCCGTGTACGCGGGCCGCGGATACAAGTTCTACTACGCCGACGAGCGCAACGCCGAGGGCGACGCCGTGTACCGTGCCGTGGACGGCGAGGCACACGGCCAGTTCTACGTGGAGCTGGCGGAGAAGGAGGGGCAAGGCCCGTGGCTGGCGACGTTTGTCAAGGGCACGGGCTACGTCGACTTTTCTTCGCGGTCGCCGATGTAACAGGCTCCGAGAGCAGTCTTGTCGGACAGTACTTGATGGCCTGTGATTGCGGAGATTGCGTGGTTGTTGGATGTGCAACTTCGAGTGAATGATCGTGGTGGTACTGTCGTAACAAGGGGCGGAAGAGGTATGCAGGAGGTAAAGTGTATATAGTGTCAGACAGAAGTGATGTAGGAGTAGGTGTAGATCGTTGTTGTCAGGCCGGACTGCACACCCGATGAAATCCTTGGAAGAGCCCATACAGTATTGTTCACGACCTAACTCGACTATTTCACTAGCACATTGTGTGCAGAAATGTCGGACTTTATATACCCTAGCATCGATTCGCCTCCGCCACGGATATCAAACGTTCTTGCGACCATCTAATAGTTCAACACCATCGATGGCTTCGTCAATCAATACCTACAATGTCCACAGACCTTGGGAGGATCTTCAGCCAGTCAAAGAGAGCGATCACAGCCAATCGCGGTCGTCCTCCAACACAAGTCTTTGGATACTGCACAATGCCTGAACAGCTGGATATGTCGGGTCGGACAGTCGGCCCAGTTCCGCCAATCAGATCGTTCCGTTTGCGGAAGACTAAAGCAACCTGCGGGAGTGACTGTTGACTGTTGACTGCAGACTGCAGTCCTGGCGCCGCCGACGTCGACACCTCCAAAGAGCACGGGTCTCGACGCCATCCGTAGGCTGATGCCACTGCCAAAGATCGAGGTTGTCAGGGCTTGTTGCCTAGCCAGCCACGTCCCTCTTTCACGAGCAAATCCATCTGCGCAGGAAATTTCAAGGCACTCGACTGGGCGGGCCTGCACAAGTAAGATTCCCCGACGGCTCTTTTCGACAGGAAGACCAAATAGTCAAACAAGCGAGATCTGGGAGCAGACACCCGAGCATACAAGAAACGGCGGCACTGGTCACACAGCTGAATGCCATAAAGTGTGGGAGGTCATCATGGTCTGGTAAAACTCGGAGCAAGGCCGAGTGCACACCGCCACTAACGGTGCGCATGGGCTCCGGCCTAGGTAAGGCGATGGGAGCACCCATTCTCCCCTGCCCGGGTATCATCAGGGCAGTAACAAATGCGGCCAAGAGTTGATCATGCGCGTCGTGGAGTTGGGCAAAATGGTAGAGATATTGCAGCGCCTGCTCCGAGGATGGAGCACGCGGAGAGGTGGATGCAGAGTCCCTCGATGGGATCTGGTGGATTCGGAGAACTTGGTCGTCGCTCTGGAGATGGCACTCCCATGAGGGACAAAAGTCTCGACCAGCCCGACTGAGGGTAGCGCGCCATCCGCATCCGTTGGCCAGGACGGCGGACCACCAGCGGCATTCCTCGAAGTCGGCATTGCCAACCGGTATGCCAAAGCCCGTCTCGCCATTGCCCAATTTTCCCGAGGTGTTGCACGCAGCCTTCTCTTCAGTGTAGCAGATTTGATCCTTGTCCGACTCTCGTCGCAGCTCGACTAGACATGCCGACAGCACATAGGCCCAGCCTAAAACAAAGGCGACCATGTAATTTCCCTCGCCCCCGGTGCGGCGACATCCCTCAAATCCCAGCCACGCCGAGGGCAAGTCGTCTGAGAGCAGGCAAAAGCTGGGGCGACTCGATCCGATCGTGATTTGGTGAAGTGCGGATTTCTTGCTCTTCCCGGCGAAGTCGCAGGGAGGCGAGTGGATGGCCCAGACCGAGAACCCCTCGAGGTAGATCGATGTGTCGCCGGCGAGCTCTTCAATCTCCGACCGGCCCGGGAGAGAGGGCGTCTGAGGCAGGAGGCTGCTGACGTTGGCGCAGGAGGAGGGGAAACCGCGAGCCGCGCGGGCGGGGACGAGGAGCGAACGCCATTGACGGCGGGAGCTGTGGAGGACGGCGGAGCATTGCTCAGGACTCGGGCGGAGAGGGTCGCTGGTCCGCTCGTTCACTAACCAGAGGGCATGCTCAACGCGGAATGCTGGACGCCGAACGGTGCAGAGGTAGACGTAGAGAAGTGGGATGTTTATTCTTGGCCCGAATGTTGACGACACCGATTTGTTGCTGAGGGCACGAAGACCAACTAAACCTATTTGGGCATTGGTGCTCGGCTGAGTTGCCTCTTACTGTTGGGCTGAGCAAAGCGGATGCAATACTATGGCAACTCTGGGTAGATGGCATCGAGGGTGAGCCTCGTATGCATTGGCGATCTATACGAATTTGACCACGAATTTGCCCACCCCGCCGCGGCCCTCGTACGCCTGCTGACAGCCGCGGCGAACGGCGTCGAGGTCGTCAAACCGCACCTCACTCATGACGGCCTTGACGTGACCGGCCTGGATGACCTCGCCCGCCTCCTCCAGCTTCCGCCTGTCCCACGGCGTGCACATGATCATCTCGTAGTGGACCGAGGTGCCCACGAGCCTCCATAGATACCACCACTGGAGCAGGTCCACCAGCCAGGCGACGGCGCGGGGCATGCGCGGAAACACCGGCTTCAGCAAGCCGCTGGGCGGAATGCCGGAGGCGGTGATGAAGACGCCCGACTTCGGCTTGACCAGCGGGAAGAGGCCCGTAAAGTCCCAGGGCGCGTTGTAGACCACGTCGACCGAGCCGCGCGGCACCACTTGGAGCACGTCCTGCGTCTTGTAGTCGACGACCTTGTCGACGATCCCCGGCGTGTACGTCTCGACGAGGGCGACTTTGGGCGTGGAGACGGTCGTGATTACCTTGCCCGCGCCGTAGACGTTCTTTGCGAGCTGCGTTCCCATGGAGCCCAGCGCGCCAAGGCCGGCAGTCACGAGCACCGTCTTGCCCGCGATCGTCTCACCCTCGGGCATATGCTTCAGGGCCGTCTCGAACGCTTCGATCCCCGGCATCGTAGCTCCCAGGAGCGACGCCGCCTCGCTGAAGGTCAGGTTTGCAGGTTTGCGGAGCACGAACTGCTCGGACGCAAGGGCGTACTCGGACAAGAATCCGAAGTGTTCGAAGTCTGCAGTTCTTTCTTTAGCCTGTTGAGCCCCGACCTCGAAGCCTTGTGCCAGTTACTGCTTGCCGGGTCCGATTCCAACACGTAAACCTCATCTCCAGGCTTCACGGTCGCGACGGCAGACCCGACTTGGACGACGACGCCTGCGCCTTCGACGCCCAGCTTGATGGGAAAGCTGGAGAAATCATCAGCCGCCTTTTCTTTTTCTGGTTACCATGCAAACGACATGCCGACCTGAATGATTGGAGCAACCTGAACGCTCCACTGGCCACCTGCGTGTCGCCAGGGTTCACGGCAGCCGCGCATATGCGGATCAGCACCTCATTTGGCTTCTTGATCTCGGGCACGGGGAGCTCGACAATTTGATATTCAGCCGGCGTGCAATAGCGTGGCGCGACGAGCGACTTCATGGTTCGAGGGACCGGGGTCAGATTTGCCATCTTTGGGGGGCCGTGCGGTGTGGTCAGTTCAAAAGTATTGATTTGGCCAGTTGGTCTCAATGGGAGACTCACGTCAAGATTGGCATGAGGGTGTGAACATGGCGGTGTCCTACAACCTCACGCGTGCGCGTTTGCTAGGCTCCAGCATTCCGCGCACAACCGAGGTTTACCGACTGTCGTGCCAGAAAATATGAGAGGGATGTTTTCAGCACCACATTCCGCGCGTTGTAAACACCAGCCAGTCTCCCTGTCGTCGCCTGATCTCAGGATGTCACAAGTCTCGCCCTTTGTCTCACCCCTGAACGGAGGTTGAGAGGCTCATAAACTTGCCCAGTGGGCTTTGTCCTACAAAGGTGAGTGGCACATTCCAGCTAGTGTTGCCCGGTTGCGCCATTCCAACTCCCCATTCCAGTCTTTATTCTCAAATCTCCCAACCCCCATTCCAGTCTTTATTCTCAAATCTCCCAACCCCCATTCCAGAGAGTCTTTTGTTCTTAATATATCTATATAAACCCCTACAATCTCTTTCTCCCCACGATAGCTTACTACGACCCCAGCAGCGGACCGGATTCCCCTTCCTCGTCTCTAAAGCTCTTACGCTCACCATTCTCGTCCCCAGGAACTTCTGGTGGTACGTCCATCACTACTCACTACTCGAACCGACCTCTCTCAGACCAGTCCTACGCCGAGGCAGAAGAACCTGTTGAAATCCAAAAAGATGCAGAACCTACCAAGCCCAGCCGAAGAGCAGCCGCCGTACGACCGAGTCAAGGCATACCTCGAAGATTTCAAACTCCACTGTGAGGGCCGAAGGACCGCCGTCGCCCGTGACTTCGACCAGCTCTTCCGATGCCGGATCTCACCTGGCGACTGGCTCAAGGTACAGCGAGATCTGCATATCTACGACCTCGACGAATCCCCCGGTCGATTCTCATATGAAACCCGTTGCAAATTCTCCTACCATGCCTCAACGTCGACTCTTATCATTGAATGTGCCGCCCCATCGGCCATGCATGAAGTGGCAGTTGGGTTCATCGAAGGTTGTTTCCGCTCGGTGACCGACCCCACCACTGTGGGCTTTGTTAGAAATGAAGACTACGAGCTCAAGGGCGAAGGTCCCGATCCGACCAAAAAGGCAGATCTTGCGCTCGATGAATTTACCCACGGAGGTCACAAGTACAGATGGGTTCTTGAAGTTGGTTTCTCGGAAACATATGACGAGCTCCTCGAAGACATACAGACCTGGCTGACAAGAAGCGGTGGCGACATCGTCCATGGGGTTTTGATGAAAATTACAGAAGAGCCGCCATACCGTTGTCCTTTACCGGGTGTCTCCGACGAGGAACTCGAGCGTCGAGGGCTAAAGAGCCATGACGATATATCTGAAGACGACTTCGTGATGGAAGGGGAATATGGACCAGTATCTTATCAGGGTGACCGCTGGGTAGGAGAGATTAAGGAGGTCTTCTGGGAAGTCTGGCGCCTGGATCCCGAAACACGCCAGCTCCGGCTCGTGGCCCAACGGGAGGTTATTGTCCCCAAAACCAGCTCCTCATCGCAAATCCAACTCGACGAGTTCCTAACGACCGCCCCAGCTAATGTACAAGCTTCACTAGACTGGGATCTTTTCCGACTCCTTCTCAAGAGAAAAATTCCATCGCTGGGCCTGAAACGATACCAAACGTGGATACGTACACGAAAGAGAAGAGATGGGGATGATAGAAGGACCGACCCAGACTATGTGTGAAGGGTTTCTGCGAGACAGTTCGACTATCAGGGTTGCAGGCTCGTTGGCACTTGGTTGCCATTGCAGGATCGTTGCCAGTCTAATTGCTAGTCTAGTTAGTTGTCATTGCTTACAGGCCTTAATCAAATCATACCATCTGAGCAGAATTCAAGTTTCGTTCTGGATGACGTTCGGCGTGGACTCGTCAGGAATGGACGTCCCTCTGTTCACATGGCCCAAATTTCCACCAAAAGATGGAAAGAACTGACGGGTGAATGTACAAATTGATGCGGGGGTAAGTAATACCACTATATTTCAGCGGCGAATCTTGAAACCCCCCCTCTGTGTGTGTGTCTCTCTCTCTCTCTCTCTCAAAGTTTCCATTTCCGTTTCCAAGAAGAGGCGGGGGCATGAGCAGCAATGAGCACTGCCGTGAACCCGACACGCCTAGTGCCTCAGACGCCAGATCGGCCACGGCCGCGGCGCAGTCCTTCGCCTGAGGACTCTCCTGAGCTGGCCTTGCTATCATCGACAGCGCCGCCTGCGATCGGCAGTGGCAGAGGCAAACGAGTCCGCAAACGGACTATTAGGCTAGTTGAGGCTAGACAACAAGGCTTCCTGCCTAACTCGCAGGACGGCTGAGAGATCAACACCAAGGTTGGCTATACAAACAGACGGCGACGAGGTCAGGCGGCGGCGAGGTCTAGGAGGAGGGATACGGAGGATGGAGAGCGGAAATTGCCACTAGCTAAATTAGGTGTAGTTGGCTTCTACAAAGCACTAAGCGAACTTGCGGCCAGCGGAACTTGCGGTGGAACTTGATGGTAATAGCAGAGATGTCCAATCTATCAGTGCCTACGGCGTGGTGTAGGTCCTGGTACATAGTCCGGGTCGGTCCTTCTGTCATCCCCATCTTTTGTCCCTCGGTTCGATTCCCACTTTAGATATCGACTCGTTGCCATTTTCTGAATGTCCCTTTGCAACAAGGTTCGTGTTGCGCTTGAGACAGTTGCCGTTTTACGTGCGCTTCAGGCGTTACCTAATTGCGCCTAGTGCCAGGAGGTCTTGCGGCGTGGCAGGACTCAGGGGAGGTCTTCCTGGTACCTAGCATTTTGTATATAGACGTTCAGACCTTGCCTGAGGACAGGCACAGGTAGACAGACCAATCCATGACCTGTTCACGATTCTGCTAGTTCAACAGTTATGAGCCCGGGGCGATTCTAGATCGCGCCGATAGCCATTTACGTTGCATTCCTTGTATACAACTACACCTGTTGTATAGGCACACACTGCCTCTCTGACCTCGTCAACGCCTACCTGAAGACCTCCTGTAACGCCATGGACCCTCAGTCCTCGATCAAGCGGAACGCCGTTATCCTCATAGGTCCTGATACCTGGACTAAATGGCTCTGGATGATCAAGACTAAGGTAGAGATCTATGACCACTGGGTCTTTATTGATCCTTCGAAAGATGCGAGGCCCGCAGCGCCTCCACCACCTGGTCCTTCCACAGGCACAGACTTAAAGGAATGGCAGATCAGGAAGACTGAGCGCCAGGACTATCTGAAGCACGAGGGCAAGATAACTGAGGCCATTGTCGAAAGCATCGACGAGATCCTCGTTCCGCACATTATGCGCACAGACATTACCGATAACTGGCATCGATTGAGAGCCCTCAAGGCCCAGGTCGCGCCATCCGATCGTGCCAGGGAACTAGGCGTCCAGGCCAAATATCGCGCTCTTTTGAAGGTCAATCGCAGAACCAACATCGATAGATGGCTAGGCGAATGGCTCTCTGTCTGTCAGGAGGCGAAAGATCTCAAGTTGCCTGAGGTCGACAAGGACAGGGCACAGAACGATTTTCTCAATGCAATCAACAGGATCGACGAAGGGTGGGCTAATGCCAAACGCGCCTTGTTCTTTGACGCGCCTGACACAACCAAACCCTCAATTGAGAGCCTGATCGCTAGTTATAGAAGGATCAGAGACATGAACAAAAACGAGAAGGTTTTACAGACCTATAGTCTCGACCATTTTGAGGCTGCAAGTGGTGCATTTGCAACCCTTAATGGCGTTAAAGACAAGACCCCTGAATGCCTCTGTGGCAAGAGACATTGGTATAAAGACTGCTGGTATCTGAACGCTTCGATCAGACCATTAGGTTGGAATCCTAATGATGAGATCGATCGACAGATCAAGGCGAAGCTTGACGAGTCACCTAGGCGAAAGAGGCACATCGAGAGGATCCTGAAGGCCGCACGGTCGTCTGCGAAGTCCAGGAAGGAAGCCAATGGTACCAATGGCAGTAAGCAGATCTCCTTACCTGAGGCAGGCGACGACGGTGAGCGCTCTGGACTAGAGTCAGTAGGGACCTTTGCGGTGGCATCTTACTCTGCAATGGCTGTCAACGCTCTCAAGGACAACTGGATCCTGGACTCAGGATCAAACGTCCACATTACCAATGACAGGAACGCGTTGTTCGACGTGAGAACTCCTGGCGCTACCACAGAGATTGTAGCAGGAACGGGCCGCTGTATAGCAGGCGCAATTGGTTCTGTAACCATCAAGGTTAACACACCTGTTGGCATGAAAACAATGACGATCACAGACGTGATTTATGTGCCAGGTTTCATGACTAACATCGTGTCCTTGTCAAGGCTGAATAGCAAAGGCGTTCACTTCAGCACTGAGACTAGTCAATTGACTAGAAACGGAAAGGTTATCGCGAAGATTGAACCAGTGGCAGGCCATTGGATCGTGTCAGTTGATAATCAACCAAAAGGCGCCACGTTCGCGGTGGCCGCAAGCGCGCAAGGCGCGAGATCCGACGGACAGGAGATGGCAGCGCAGGCACATCCAGCGGCGTTTACCTTAGAGAAGGCACAGCAGGACTATGATCTATCCGCGCTGTGGCATGCTAGAATGGCCCATCCTGGCCCGCAGGCACTTACTAAGTTACCAGGCGCCGTAGTAGGCATTCGGCTATTCGCGATAAATCACGCAATCTGTGAAGCCTACCGCCTATCGAAGGCCACTCAGTTGATCTCTCGATCAAGCGACAGGGAGTACCCAGAGGAACACCTATTTCACAGAGTCTCTTACGATCTCCTGGAACTTGACGAGGGCTATAATGGGGACCAATTCGCAGTCTATTTCCAGTGTTTCAAGACCTCGTTCAATTGCGTGTTTACTCAGCCTCAACGAGTAGGCCTAGTCGGCGTGATTGAGACCTTTATTAAGCATGTGGAACTGTAGTTCAATCAGCGCGTTCGGATCCTGCGGATTGACAACGACACTGCCCTAGGGTAAACCTTTGATAACTTTGCGCGCCAGATAGGCCTTAAGGTTGAATTTAGTGCTCCTCACACTTAGGCACAAAATGGGCATGCAGAACGCGTAGGTAGAACGCTCACGACGAAGGCTCGCGCCATGAGAATAGGTGCAAATTTACCCCATTCATTGTGGCCAGAACTCGTGAAAACGGCAGGATACTTGATGAATCGAACGCCTGTGATGCAACTAAACGGACGGACGCCTTTTGAGGCTCTCACAGGCCGCAAACTAAGCGTTAATCACCTCAGAATCGTTAGTTGTAAAGCGTTCTGTCTGAGAAAGAAGATGGACAGGAAGATGAAGTTGGACGCGAGGTCCCTGATCGGCTACCTAGTTGGCTATGACTCTCGGAACATCTATTGAATCTGGCATCCGGCCGGAAGAACTATTATCCGGACTAGAGACGTCATATTCGACGAAGGCCAGCGGTTCAATCCGTAGGAACAGGACCAACTTGCGTAACTCTCAACCCTTGAAACTGTCACAGAAACGATCGATTTAAGTGCCGATAACGATATAGAGGATGCCGGCGATGCTACAGATGACAGCGTCGACGGGAATAACTCAGAAAATGACCCTGAGACAATCACAATTAGGCCTCGTTCTATAGGCGACCAGGCCGATCGCATAAGGCGAAAGCGCAGGCGCATAACACCACCGCTACCAACGCCAGGAACGACGCCAGATTTGGCCTCGACACTAGAACAGACCTCGCCGCTACCATCTGGGGGGGTGGAAACGCCGTCTATAACCTCAGAACAAGTGTCTACAGGTACGGAACCTAATCGGACAAGGGATAATCGAGTTGCAAGCCGTGCCCAGGAGATATCTGCCGACTACTCCCAGGACAACATCCTACCTGAGGGCTCTAGGCGCTAACGTAAACGCAAGTTCGCTCAGTTTATCCTAGGTAATGTCGAGGATGAAACGCCTTCATTGAATGGCTATCATTTCGCGTTCTCTGTGGCAGTCGCAGACGGACAATTAGTTGATCGATCGCCAACTATTGCTGCCACCTAAATAAATGGCCTACGCCTGCATCAAGACAATCTACCTCCTGAACCAAAGCATTGGAGAGATCTCAAAAGGCACCCATTCAGATAGCAGTTTGAGGCAGCCGCACAAGAGGAATTCGACCAATTAAAGCGTAGAGGGACCTTTAAAGAAGTCGATTTAAACGAGACTACTAAAAGACCATTGCCATTACTATAGGTCTTTAAGTATAAGTTCGACACAGATGGGTTCCTAGATAAGTTCAAGGCGCGCATCTGCGTTCGCGGCGATCTATAGACCACTGAGCGGGATAATTATGCGGCCACCTTGACGATTAAGGTGTTCAGGGCATTAATAGCCCTAGCCGCGGCGTTCGACCTAGAGATCCTGCAGCTGGACGCAGTCAACGCGTTCCTAAACAGCGCTATAGACGAAGACGTCACAGTGGAATGGCCATAAGGTTTCCACCAAACAGACAAAATCCTGCTACTCCTGAAGGCGCTTTACGGCCTAAAATAGGTACCTCTCCTGTGGCATGATTACCTCGTCAGAGTGTTGAAGGAACTAGGTCTTCAATAATTGCCTAGCATTAACTGTGTTCTCACAAACGACGAGATGATCCTGTTCTTTTACGTAGACGACATCATCATTTTATACAGAATAGAGGTCGCTAAAGACGTCGAACGGCTAGTCAATCGACTTAAGGAACGTTTGGACCTTCGAGTGATCGATAAAGCTAATTGGTTCCTGGGGATCCGAATCATCAGGGATAGGCCAAATCGACTACTATGGCTGTGCCAGGACTCCTATATTGATAAACTGGTAGCACGATTCGAGATATAGGTAAACACGCGAGTCCTGGCGACTACGCCGTTACCGATTGACCTGCCGCAGATCTTTGACGGAAAGGCCTCAAGTACAGAGATATTTGCGTTCCAATAACGAGTGGGATCGCTCAACTTTGCGGCTGTGACCACCAGGCCAGATATTGCAAAGGCCTGTTCATTACTAGCATAACACCTCAGAAATCCAGGGCCAGAACATCTTAGGGCTGCTAATCGAGTGATTGGTTATCTAGTCGCCACTAAGTACTGCGGTATCTAGTACAATGGCATCGTCAATCAGGACGATCCTGATATTAACACCTACCCAATGGAATGTTACTCTGACGCGGCATTTGCTGACAATCTAGACAGGAAAAGCTCAGACGGATACCTCTTTCAGCTTTACGGAGGACCTATCGATTAGAAGGCCTCAAAGCAATCGACAGTTACCACCTTAAGTACAGAGGCAGAACTGTTGGCACTGTCGCGAACGGTAAAGGAACTGATCGCCTGGTAACGGTTCTATAGACAGATCAGATTCGCAACTAACAGCCGCCTGTGCATCCTCTCAGACAACATACAGACCATTCGACTACTCACAGTAAATGGGCCATTGATCAACACTAAGCTTAAACACATCGATATACACCAACACTGGCTGCGTTAGGAAGTCCAAAACGGCTCGATTGAGATCGAATGGGTGTCGACAGACGGCATGAAGGCAGATGGGTTTACAAAGGCCTTGTCTAGGCAGAAGTTCGATCGGTTTATCAGGCAACTCAATCTGGTTGATATACAGCCATTCCTGTGATCTATAGCGATCACTGCAATGGCTGGGGGGGTGTGTTGCGCTTGAGACAGTTGCCGTTTTACGTGCGCTTCAGGCGTTACCTAATTGCGCCTAGTGCCAGGAGGTCTTGCGGCGTGGCAGGACTCAGGGGAGGTCTTCCTGGTACCTAGCATTTTGTATATAGACGTTCAGACCTTGCCTGAGGACAGGCACAGGTAGACAGACCAATCCATGACCTGTTCACGATTCTGCTAGTTCAACAGTTCGGAACACATCCCAATCTGGCGAAATCTGTGCGCCCACCGGAGCGACTGACAGAAACTGGCCGATTTGAATCTTAGGTGAGGCGGCGGTCTCTGGGACGATGACCTCTCGTTCACCAACGAGCTCTATCTCTTGTGTTTGCGAGTTCAACCTCCAGACTTCCCAGAAGATCTCCTTAATTTGTCCTGCCCAACGATCACCTTGATAGGATACGGGGCCATATTCTCCTTCCATCACAAAGTCGGAGCGAGATATATCCTGACGACTCTTTAGGCCTCGGGCCTCGAATTCCTCATCGGAAATGTCAGCTAAAGGGCAATGGTGTGCTGGCTCCTCGGTGATTTGCATCAAGACCCCGAAGGCGACCTCGTGCTCTCTTCCTGTCAGCCACGATCGTACGTCTTTGAGGAGATCATCGTAAGTTTCAGTGAATCCAACTTCAAGAACCCATTTGAGCTTGTCATCTCCGTCAATTTCTTCGTAAATTGAAAGATCTGCCTGTTTACTCTCCCTATCTGCTTCGCCATGGAGAAGCGTGACAGTTGGGCCGCCTTGGACAACGTCGACGTCTAAGGAGGGGATCGCGGACCGAATGACCTGAGCCAGGAAGTTGATTGGCCTTTGATGGACTTCAGTTAGGAGGTATCGAATAACGAGTACAGACGATGAGGTGTGGTATGAGAATTTGCAGGAGGAGAATGGACCGTGGTCTTCATTGTCGAAAATATGCAGATCTTTCTGTAGCTTGTGCCAGTCTGCCTCTGAGATTTTGCATCGGAATACCTGTCCGAAGTCCCCGGGGGCGACAGTCTTGCGGCCCTCGCGCCACCGTTTGAAATCTTCGAGGCATGCCTTGACTCGGTCGTACGGCCGCTCCTCGGCTGGGTTTGGTAGGTTCTGCATCTTTTTGGATTTCAATAGGATCTTCTACCTCGGCGTAGGACTGGTCTGAGAGAGGTCGGTTCGAGTAGTGATGGACGTACCACCAGAAGTTCCTGGGGACGAGAATAGTGAGCGCGGGAGCTTTAGAGACGAGGAAAGGGAGTCCGATTCGCTACTAGAGTCGGAGTAAGCTATCGTGGGAGGAAGAGATGTAGGACTTTAAATAGATGTATTAGGAACAAAAGACTCTCTGGAATGGGGGTTGGGAGATTTGAGAATAAAGACTGGAATGCCGCAACCGGGCAACACTAGTTGGAATGTGCCGCACCCGGTACTCAACTGGTGCTTTTATCCCACGCGGGGTGCGCCACCTAGATATTTCCGTTTCCAAGACCCGAGCATATGCCGCCATTTGACCTGAACCAAATAGCTCTGGTGAGCTCTGTAGGCTGTGCGATCCTGAGGGTTGGTTGGCTCGGCGAGCCCCGGGGAGGCGGGGGGCATGAGCAGCAATGAGCACTGCCGTGAACCTGTGGACTTGTAGGCACACACGCGCGCCCGCGCGCACAAATGGGTTCGCGAGGTTCCCAGTTTTTCCAAGTTTTCAACACGCCTCAGATTTGGGGGAAGGGGGACAGGAGCAGTTCCGGGCTCCCAGCCGGGTGATTGTAGTTGTACGGGCATAGACCACCCAAACGCATGAATTTTTCTAACCGAACCGTCTCTCTCTCTCTATATATATATACATATATACACACATACATACATTTCACGCCAACTCGCTCAAAAACTGGATGATGGCATCCGCCAGCTGCTCCAACCCGGGCTCTTCCAAGGGGTAGTGGCCGGCGTTGGCCAGCATCACCGTGCGGACCGGGACCTTGGTGATGCGGGGCAGGAACAACTCGCTCAGATGCAGCGGCGTCCAGGCGTCGGCGGCCGGCTGGGTCAGCAGGACGGGGCAGACGTCGAAGTCCTCGGGCTCCACGGCGGGCCGGTAGGACGAGTAGGTGGCCAGGAAGCGCATCGACTTCCACGAGCCGGCGGACGAGGGGTCGGCCAGCATGACCTTGAGCGCGTGGGGGTCGTTGGCCAGCGCCGACATCTTGCTCGCCAGCCACATGGGCACCGAGAGGTCCTTGGTGAGCGCGTTGTCGCAGAGGCGGGTCATCGGGAGGCCGACGCGGCTCATGAACCAGTTGCGCGCCGTCTCGTCGGCGACCTGCTGGACGCGCTGGTCGAGGAAGGTCATGCCCACGATGCCGCGGACCTTCTGGTTGAGCGCCGCGGCGTGGTACGTCAGCATGCCGCCGGCGGAGAGGCCGTAGAGCACGATCGGGCGGGGGTCGTGCTCCAGCTCAAAGTCGATGAAGTCGCTGGCGATCGCGACCCAGTCGTCGTACGAGTAGGTGACGCCCCGGGCGACTTGGGTGCGCCCGTAGCCCGGCATGTCGAGCGCGACGAGCTCGAAGCCGGCCTTGTGCAAGGGGACGCCGAGGATCATGGACATTTGGCGCCCGTTGGTGCCGACGCCGTGGTGCATGATCAGGCGGATTTTGGCGGCCGGGTTCCTCCAGCGGTCGAGGTGGATGGTGTGCCCGCGGTTCTCCCACCACTCTTCAACCGGATGGTGTTCATCGGTGAAGTGCAGGCGCTGCGGGAGGAATTGCTCGAGGTCTTTCCACGCGCGTTGGGACTCGTAGGTTGGAGGCGACATGGTCACGATGGCGATGGTGGTACGGGTAGATAGATGGTGATTGTTGCTGTAGGATGAGGGTGCGAAGGTGTGAGAGTGATGAAGGGCTTACCTGTGTTTAATGTGTGTTGTATATATATGTATATATCTGTGTATGTAATCGATACTCAATGTCGACGTGTGGCAGCGCCGGAGAGACTCCAGCGCCGCAGACCGGGTTCGATTCGGACGTAGCAACCCCAAGACATGTTGATACGTTGCTCCGAGCCTCCGACCACCCTATCTGGACAACGCTGTGCCGGATGTGGTGAGTGTTCTCTTTTCGTGTAGCTTCGCGCGCGATTTACGAGGGACCTATTTGTATGAAGTCATGTTCTCCGCGGGAAAAACGAGTGGTGAGCGGCACGGAGAGATCTATCCGTCACTTATACCTATCTGGGTTACTACCACCAACGCTAACTAAACGCCAACCCCAATGCAGGCTTTGTAAAAGAAAAGGACTCAGCCATGCATGGATACTAGCTCCGACCCGGCTGCCTCGCTTGGAACACGTCATCTTGCTTCCATTCTCCATGCGGCAAGAAGCAATACTCGATCCGGCATCAACGACACTCTAATCATTGCGCTATTGCCTTGATTGTTGTAAAAGGAAAGGTGTACATCTCGCTCGAGTGGCCGTGGTGGTGGCACTCGCACATCAACAAGCCTATGCATAATGATTCGTGATTCTGGCTGTTTAAGGACTTTTGTACCTGAGGAAGGCTACAGGTTGCATGCATGACTCTAGCAAATCAATCATAGAACTGGAGCTTCAAGCCCCGGTTCCCCTTTCCTTGGGCACTGACACACGCGACCGCCACGTCCTGTGCTGAGTAGAACATCCATGTCGACTCCCGCTGCTGGTTGTTCGGGCCTCTGGACTCGGAATTATCTCAAACATCAAAACGTCCCCTTCAAGTGGTGCGCTCTCCTCTCCCAATCCTCTCACGCGCTCCAATTCCGGTGTTGTCATGGACCCGGAGACGCAGAAGCTTCGGGGCGCCCACGGAGAATTGAGTAATGTCATTGACGTCGCAAACATCCTCCATGCGGTTTCCAATCATCCTCGCTCTCCGAGACAAAGACATCGATGAGTTCCACATCGAGCTGGCGCAAGATCCAAATTGATCGACGGGCACACACGGCCTGCACATCGCTAGCTCTCTTCCACAGAAAGAAGATGCGTCTTGGTTGCTTGGTGCTGGATGTTCGTTTGTTGGCAGTACTCTGTGGCGGAGGTCGAAGGGGAGTGGGTGAGCGATGGACACTTTTCCTTCTCCGCAACGGGTTGGTCAAGGCTTCAACGTTCGGTATAGAGCTCTAAATGAGGGCTCAATTCAGGGCTGATTGCAGGCTTCAGTCCTGGGTTAGAACTCCAACAGTCCCCGCCCTTTATACTAGAAGCAGCGAACTCGATGGGGGAATCCGATCACCTGCTACTGGCTCTTCGCGCAGCAGAGTCGCTGTGAAGCTCGCTTGACGTCCCGGTGTCGGGTCAGCGTCAACGCATAAGGCATCCACGCCGTTCGACACCGCTGTTGACCACATCCTCACTCATTTCGTTCCCGGTTCTGTAATGTGGCTCGCAATCTTCGTCCTTGTATCTCTCAAAGATGGAGCAAGTCCATGACGGACATGGACCTCTTTGGGCATCGGCTTTTTCCCTTTGATCGTTCACGGCCAAACGTACCAGCGGCCCGACTGTGAAGACTTGCGGACGTCGCCGGCAACCTGAGACGGAATTCCCATCTCTCTGCGAATATGTCGAATGATTTTGTGTGGTCCTTTTGGAGCGATGCCAACATCCTAGAGCACGCTGTCCTCGGTTGCCCTCGTAGACCCAATATGACATCGATTCCCACGCCAAGATCTCCCGAGCAAGGACGCCCAGAGGTATACCAAAGGGGCCTGGACAAGAGATGGCAGTGTGGTACACGTAGCAAGTAGTCCTCATGGTCACTCACCCACAGAGAAGGAGCGCAACGCCAGGGCTTGCATTGGCGACCAGCTCCACGCTATTATCTATGCTTCTTTCCAGAATCTCGTTGTCTTGACAGCCGCAGATCTCTTCTGGGAAACGCTTTCGTGGAGAGTTCGTAGGCCGATCGGAGACGTGGTAAGAAGGGGATGCATTCGGTAGGGAGTCGAGGCATTCCGTAGGGTAATTGGGAAGCAGAGTTCGTGGGTGCATAGAAGAAGCCATGACGCCGCCCGGGGATCAGCGCGTGGAGAATGTATAGGCCAAACTGGAAAGAGTCTCAGTATCGGCGAGGATGCTCGTGATATTAGAAACCCACCGTCGTCGTGTCACAGCAGCCTGCGAGAGAGGCTGCAAGAGAGACTGCAAGAGAGGCTGCGAAGCGTTCACTATCTATGAAGAGTCAGTATCGACGATGATGCTCGTGATGTTCGGGGCTCTACCGTCTCGTGTCACAGCAGACTGGAAGAGGCCGCTGCTCCTGCAAAGCGTTCACTATCCCGTCAATGTGCTGCCGAAGCCCGCGGTAGCCGGTAACTGTAGTCACAACAGCTCATTCTTGGGGAGTATCTTGCCATCTCTCCCAAAATGTCTCTCCACCCTGATCCGAGAACTCCAGCTTGTCAACCCGCCTGCTTCGCCTGCACCGCACCCAAGCGGTATGTATCTCGACCATGTCCACCACCCACGCAGGTTGGTGAACCGATCTGCCCTCTTGGATCTGCGACATTGCGGTGGCAAGCGGTGGTTCAACCGGTGTGGGATTCTTCGAGGCTGGAGAGGGGAGGAATCAGGGGTATGTAGTCGTGATGTCGGCCGCAGGAACGGGTCGGGCGCTGAGGGGGGAGGCAGTCGGCGTCGAGCACCGTGCTTGAGAAGCGTGTTAGGCTGAGAGTGGTGACCATTGAGGGGAGAACGGAGAGAACGTGCAGGGTGCCAATGGCCGATGTGCAGCGTCGTGTTCAGCCATACGATGCTGGCGTTGACGGCGGACGTGAGCTGCTCGGAGCGTGGAAAGTGAGGGAACGGAACTCTTTCCATCTTCGGACGCTTCGTCGCTCGACTTGCCCCAAATTGCGAGGAGGAATGTGCCTCGCGCTACTTGCCTAGAAGTAGCAATTCTCGCATTGAGTCTCCGAGTGATATCACCGCTTCGCTCAACTTGCCTTTTTACTCCTTCGTACTTTCTCCCGCACTTGGGTCACCACCCCGCTCAATGATTTACCTCTTCCCTCTTCCGGTAGTTTGCTTATACTACGTCACCGCGAGGCTGTATCATCCTCGTCCTACGTCGCCGCCGCGCTCAATCTCCCTCCTATAACATTCAGGACCGACTGCCTCTGTACAAAAACCTCTGAGGCCGTGTATCACCACAGTCCCTGGGAGATCGTGACAACGGTACCCCCGTGGCGGAGCATGTCGTGACACGTTGGACCTGGAGACGGACTCGGCGACTCATTGTGTTACTTGGCTCTGCAACGCAGGCCTTGCCTGCCTTGCCTTGCCTTGTCTTGCCTTGCCTTGCATTTCCTTACACAACCTCCATCTGTCGAATGTGTGGGTGTGACACGAACTCCGATCCTCTGCTCTGCCGTGGAACGTTACTCAGCCGTACCCCAGATCTGCTGCGGCGTCCTCAATTTCCCATTTCCGTTGTTTTCTATTACGCTTTTGCTGCGACAACGGCGTTGAGGCTTGGGTGTTCTAACTCTCTAGTAGTTGCCGAGCGGGACGCGAAACCTTGGAGCGTTCAACAACCGTGACCGATCCCGCCCACGGTCGACTCCGAGTTTCGATCCAGATGGGATAATGCTTTGGCTAGATTGGGTTTCACTGGCGGTCCGAGTCTCTTGAGGACTGGTTGGCATAGCATAGCGGAGATGCACGAGATACAGCGGGAATTTGTCATCGTCATACGCTCGGCCCTGCTAACTAGTTATTCTTCGCCGTTTCCCTGCTTGTCTACCAACACCGAATTTAACGATGTGTAGGGCGAACGATGAACAGAAGTGCAAACCGCTTCGGCGGATCGAGCTGCAGACCTCAACACGCATAGATCTACGGCCCATGCAAATGCAAGCAAAGGCCTTCAATGTCAGGGCCCGGTTCGCACCCATCTTTCACAAAGGGAAGGGAATTGATAAGCAAGGCATGTGCTTCCAGAGTCCCGACAACCCTCGCACTATCTGCGAGTTCTCGTTGAACAGTCAGTCTTCCTACGCCATTTGCGGCCGGGGGAATGATCGAATCTCCTGCCTCTCCAAAGCCTAACAGAGACCACAGACGCAAGAGACCCCTATTCTTTCCCTTGTAGAGCCGAACCATCAGAAAGGCATCTCTCCCCAGGTGGGAACTTTACACTGCCGCTTGATCTGCCCTGGCCAGCTGACGGTTGTTCAAAGCGAGTGTGTTTTCAGTGTGTTTTCACGGCTGCTTCTTCTAGCACACGAAAATACGTCTCCCTTGGGCTCTATCTCCAGAGACTAGGGGGTCATCTCCCACGAATTCACGGTGACTGCGTGGCAACTCGCAAGCCGGCAGGCAACTCGGAAGGCATCCAGGAAGACATGCAGATATGCAGCATCTCCGAACAACGAATATGTCAGTGTTGCCAGGATTGTAGTCACTAGTCAGACTGTGGTCATTCGTTATCCGCAAACGGAGAGCTCTGATTGGTGGAACTAGATTGATCCCATGACCTGATATAGACCCTTGACCAATCCAGGGTTTCAGGCGCTGCAATGCCTCTAAAGACTTCGCTAAAAGACGATTACGATCGGCTGTTATCGTCCTCTTTGACTGGCTAAAGATCCTCGCAAGTTCTGTGGATATTACAACCATTGATAGAGTGTCAAAGGCCTGCTACTGGCGAAGGGTAAGGAAGTCGCAAGTAGACCACTATTGGAACGGGCTTTGTGAGCAAAATTGTGGGCCCAGGCACGGGGTTGCAGAACGGCGGTATGCAAAGAGGGCTAGAAGGAGGTACCTGGGGAGGGAGGTCATTGAGGGATATCATCCAGCAAGGCGAGTAGGTGCGTGGGCGAGAAGTGGTCAGCCTTCGATTGGGGATTTATTGGCTCGTTCTACGCAGAGAGCAGTGCGGGGAAGAATTGCAGAGGAAGTGGCGGAGAGAGAGAGAGAGAGTGCACGGTGGGATATTCACCGGACCAGCCTCATGGCACTTCATGGGGCACTTCATGGATTGCCTGGGGTGAAAAAGATGACACAGCAAAAGAGCGGCGACGATGAGGGTCATAATATTCGTGAGCGACCGTTATATAAGCGAGTGGCAAAAGTACAAAAGTCCATCTCTTTCGATCTCAAGCAGTCTGTCAGTCAGTCATCCGTGGCAGCGAGGTTCATCACAATCATCATCCTGTGTTCCCTGATTTTCGTATCATACTATTGATCCCAGGCATTCCCAAACCATACACCCTGCTAGGCCCGTGCTAATCGTTTTCCATCGTTTTTCCATCGTAAATGCGCGTTGTTTTGTGATTCAAGAACAGAGAAGGTGTCCCAGATGCATCATGGTCGTCGACCTGTTGGCATCAGGCTGGACCGTCGGGTGGACCGTGGGCTGAAACGAAGGTTGAACCATCGGTTGAACCGTAGGCGGCTGGACAGTCTGACGTTGATGTATCGACGGCGGCAAAGGCAGAGGAGGCAAGGGGAGACACGGCAGAGGCGGAGGTGGACTCTTGGTGTCGGGGCGCGATTCTAAAGCGTTGCTTTTGGCGGCCCGTTTGAGCTTGGTTCGCTGGGCATACATCCAGGTCTTCCGGGCGGTGTACAGGCGCTGTTCGATACAGGCGCCCTTCAACTCCATGGGGGTCTTGGGGGGGAAGACATCGTTCTTGTCGCAGAGCTGCCACATGTGCTGGACGGCGGGAACCAGTTCCTTGAGGGGGATCCCGCCCCAGGTGACCTGGGGGTCGGCGTAGAGAGAATGGGGGTTGTTGGCGAGATAGCTGGATTGCACTTGTCGAGCGATGGTCTTGATCATGTGGAATTCGGTGTTGCCCAGGCCCGCCGTCTTCTGCACCTGGGCCGGCGTGTCCAACAGCTTGATCGGGGGGTCGTAAGTCATGCTTTCGGGAGGAGAGGCAGCTTGGTCTTGGAGCGGTTGTGGGACATGAAGGGGCGAAGGGAGGGGAGAGAGAGTTTCTGGTGCAGCGACGGGAGAGACAGCTTGTGATGTAGGAGGCCACGACGACCACTGCTCCCACTGCCGCTTCGGGCGGGCTTGACACTTTGTTTGTCACTCTGGTCCTGCAACTGGGGTGGGCCTCCGAGGTGAGACAATGTGGCGTCCCAATAGTGAGTCCATTGGCCCATGTCGCTCAGCTGGACCTCTGGCAAGTTGGCCATGGCCGGGGTCAGGCTCTGCGCAAAGTTTTGCAAGCCGTGCTGCAACTGCAAGGCGTTCAAGCCCAAGAAGAAATTGTCCCGCATCTCGGCCTCGAAGGGGAAGCCGGGATGTGGAATCTCGAGTTTGGTTTCGAAAGGCGGCGTGAGCAGCACGACGACGACCAGCGCCACGGCGAGGACGGGGGTGCGGACCGAGTGCAGTTGCTGCAGCGCGGCCATTTGCAGGTGGTCCAATTCGCCCGTGACGGCGAGGGTCTTGACGGTCTCGGGCCAGGCGTAGTCCTGGCTCAGGGCGAGGACGACGGTGAATCGCGAGTCGAGGGGCGGCTGGCCGATCTGCTGCTCCAGGGTGGTCATCCGACGATGGAGGCCCGAGACGCCCAAGATGCTGCGGGGGAGCGGATCTCGGCACCGGGGCAGCTTCTTATAGTCTAGGGCATTTCGGAGGCAGTGTTGGAGGGCCAGGACCTTCTCCCTGGGGGTGGGCAGGCCGATGAGGGTCATGGTCTCGGCTATCTTCCAGGAGCTGCCGAAGGTGCTGGTGGTTGCGGTGACTCGCGCGGTGGGGAGGAGGGTGAAGATCAGCCGGTCCAAGTTCTTGGGGACCCTGGGCAGCGGCGTGGTGCTCTGGTAGGAGGCTCGGTTGATCCAGGTCAGCCAGGGGACGATGTCGTTGTCGGAGCAGAGGATGGAGCGGATGTTGTCGGCGGTCCACCGGATGTAGAAGGCATCGAAGGGGTCAACCAGGCTGAGGATCAGGATGGCCAGCTTGCGGATGAAGGTCTCGTTGATGTCGACGGGGGGGATGGTCCATGACTCTGGCCGCGGGCCTGTGCGTCGGGCAGCAGAGGCTGGGGACAGCAGAGGTACGGGGATGGTGATTGCGGGCATCGGGGGCAGCGAAACAGCAATGGCAGGAGAAGCAGCAGCAGAGATGGTGAGACAAAGGGTTGAGAAACATTCCATCCCAGGAGGGGTCTAGCGAGAATTCATATAGAGACTGCATGGCCATGGAAAATGGGCGAGGCGAGCAGGACGGAGCAGGGAATCAAGCAAGTTGCGGTCAAACACCCACCACGACCTGTCAATAGGAGGAGACGGAGCTTCCAGGAACGCAGTTCAGACGGCGACAGTCAAATCAGACACGGCGGGCGAGCAGTTCGGAGGACAGCTGTGGCAGAGAAGGGCATCTGGCAGCTGGGAGGCAGCTGTCAACCCAGCTTGGGGAGGATGGAAGAGTGGGCGAAGGAAGATGTTGAGCAGCAAGGGATGGAGCGATAGTTTGAGCCACCGTCGAGCAGGCCAATGTGAGGATGAGAGAGCGTGGCAGAGGAGCTGTCAGTTGAGATAGAGAAGCATCGGGTGCCGCGATCCGAAGTGTTGCAGGCTGGACCTTGCGTAGCCAAGCTGCGAGGTGATTGCACCAGCCTCTGCTGACTGGGTTTACCGGCATGAATGGCTGCGAAGGGGTGGAACAAATGCCCACATATACCCACAGATGCCCACAGATGCGCAAACACACTCACCAGTCCCCCCTGTGCCCAACAGCGCCCAGCTGAGTATCTCCCAGTACTCCGTACATAGCAAACACTCTCCAACCACTGTACTGCATAGTAAACACTCCCCCAGCTGCAAACAATCACCCACTACTCCACTCCGTCGATCTGCACCAGATTGGGCTCCGGTCCGGATTACCCAGGGATCGGGACTAATTCTTGACCACCGACATGTATGTACCTACATATCTACCCGGACTCCGGATGCCATTCAGGGCAGCAGTGATTGTCCATCGCCACGCTGCAGTCCAGGTCTCACCTGGCAACTGGCCCCCTGGTGACATACAATATATCAAGTGGTATATATATGTACTCGTGGCATGCCATGGCACAGAGACAAACACACACCCACACACCTTCTCCTGCCGATAAATACCTGGGAGGAGGTTCCTGCACTCCTACACACCGCGGGGTAGAAGGCAACGGCCCTTCGCTAGCAAGAATGCAACTAACTACCCCGCCTCCCCTTCGCGCCCCTTCAAGCCCCTTACGTGCTTGTCCCCCTTGCACGTCCAGTCTAGCCTCACCCAGGAATGCCAAGCCCACGCTGGTCCTGAACCGGCCAGATAGGCTGACCGTCGCTGACCGTCTAGGCCAACCACGGCTCATACTCTCCACGCCTTATCCTCTATCATCTGGTCCAGCTCCACCATGCGAAAGTGGCGCGCCCGTCTGGAATGTTGGCTCGCTCGCTTGTTGGTCTCCTCGCCTGTTCACCTGTTCGCCTGTTCGACTGTTGGCCCGATAGCCTGATGCTCTCGACATGTCGCTGCCTCTCCTCTGCACGAGAGAGACTGGCTCTGGCTCTGGCTACGCCTGGTGCTCCTATCACGTCCCACCCACGACACGCCCGTTGCATTCGTCCTTAGTCCCAGTAGTCACTCGTGAGACCAGACCACCTCTCACAGTCCCAATGCACCTTGGCCCAACGGGAACGAGCCTGAGCTTGTACCTGCACATGCGGTCGTGCTCTTTGCTGCCTCCCTCCCCCCTCCCCACATTGTTTTCTCCCTCTCGCCTTAAACATGGCCTTTCGCGCCTTCGTAGGTCGCAGTCTACAACACTCTCGATATCTGCTCCCTCTAACAACCCAGAATCTATATGGACCCGAGTAGCTACTCACCCCTCTCCTTTGGCTTTCCCACGGCAGCAGACGATTTCTTTGCTCCCTTCGACTGCTTTGCTGCTCAAGATCAACTCCCCAACCAGGCCTTCTACGAAAGCCCCCTGTCCATTCGCGATGCCCCCAGCTCCTCGCCTCCCCCGAACGAACCCATCATCGACAAAGTGGTCATGAGAATTGTCCCCAATCCCCAGAATGGCTTCAGCCTCTATACCGGAGACACGTACCGCCCCATGATCTTCACCTCGCCCCCGATGATTGACCAGGTGGTCATGAATCTTCGCCGCCCCAGCCCGCCACCCAAGCAACTCGACCAATCACCCGGGCTTAGGTTCAGCAACTGCTTCGCTCCTGATCCAGAATGGCAGAGCCGCATCAATCCCACTCATCCCGTCGGCGATCATACCACCACCAAACCAGCTTCTCACGCTGCTGGTGACAAGAGAAGGTCGACCTGCCCTACATGTGGAATGTCGTACGGGAGACGCGAGGATATGCTGCGTCATCTCCGAGCCCGTCGGTGCCTCTCTCCTTGTGGCGGCCCTCCGAACCCACTGACAAGCTGCCAGATTCGAAAAACACAAAGTTCGCCTGTGGCTTTTGTCCCAAAACGTTCAGGCGCAGGTGGGAGACACCCAGCATTGGCCCTTTCAAAAGAACACATGTCGCTAATTGGGTCGCAGGGAAGTGTGGCGCGAGCATCAAGACTGGTGTCGAAACCGCTCACGGGCGTCCATGCCCAAGCGTGGCAAAATGGCGAGATGCATTGCTTGTGCGGAGCGGGATGTCGACTGTTCCCTGGGTACACCGTGTTTCAACTGTGCCACCCTTGGCGAAGAATGTAGTAGACGTGAGTTCGCCGTCGTCGTCTTCGTCCCCGAAATATCAAACACGTGCAGGTAGCAGGGTCTTGGCTAACACTCGGCTGGCTAGGGTTCGGCAATCGTGCGAGCGGAAATGCTTCTGGTCCTGGTCCTGCTCCGTCTTGGTCCACATCCCCGGACGAAATGTTTCTTGGCCACGAACAAGCCAGCTTTCCCACTAGCATCCTCTGGTCACCGCCGCCCGCTGATCCTTCCCGCGGACAACCCCAATCTCGAATTCACAGTGCCCTCTTCCAGAACTATTCGCGCCGTTTTGAGGGCCCCATGCGATGGTGGATCGCTAGGCTGAGTTCGCTTCCTTACCCCGACCCTGCCAGCACCGTGTCGGGCGATGGACAGGCCCCGTCGCCCCCAGAAGTCAAGCCGCCTTCGTTGATGGAGATGGCGCAACGGCTCGACGCCGATTTGATATCTTGGCACCAGGAGAGCGCCTGGACCGTGTTGAAGACGGCGATCGCCGCGTTCGGGAGTCAGGGCATCGACCCAAGGTCCGGCAGGTGGGAGCCGAAGTACGGACACGACAACGGCTGCCGCCCGGAGTTCTGGGTCAAAGCCAAAGCATCCATCGACAACAGCCCCGATATCCTGTCCTTCCAGGTCATCCTGGCCAACTTGATCCTGGGGATGATCCATTCCCCCGCGCCCGAGTACGACGAGAGTTTTGCCGCCGAGGCGCCATCGGGAATCTCCTTTCCGCGCCAGGACAGCCGCAAAGTAGGCAACCGATTCATCAGGCGTGGGATTTCCGATCTCTTCCAGTTGATGCGGCAGGTCAAAGACACCCCAGCCACGGGCTTTGTTGCGACTGCCGCGGGGCAGCAATACCTGAGATCCTTCTTCAGCCTGGGCCTCCTCCTCGACACCATCTCATCCGCGGTCGACGGCCGGCCGGTGCTGATACACGATGAAGACTGTGCCATCATCCTCGGCGAGCAGACACCAGGAACGCCTGCCGAGCAGCCGTCTGGGCTGTGGGAACTTTCCCGCCTGCAGGTGAAACAAGTCAAGGTGATCAAAACCGATGATGGGAGACAGCTCATAGATTGCCAGTCTCGCCTGGGGGAAGAAGGCGCTCCTATCACAATGTTGCTCTTTCGCAAGGTCACGCAGCTTCAAGCCCTCCTCTTCCGCCGGCGGCCGCAGTCTGAGCTGGAGGCATGCATCCTCGAGGCCATCGACGTGTACCATCACGGCAACAAGCGGTACGGCGGCCTGTCGTCCGATCCGCTGAGTATCTGCGATTCCTCGTGCACGATCAACCTCGGGATTCGATGGAATCTGGCCTGTCTCCTGCTGGCAGTGGTTATCGAGCGGATCGAGCTTGTGACGAAACCGTCGACCCTCTCGGAAATGCTCCGCAGTACTCTCTGGAGCATGAGGATGAAGGCCGTCTTCATCCTCTCGGGCCTTGCAGCTCTCTCGACGCCGGGAACGGAGGCAGAGCAATCCACAATGCTAGTCGCCGAGAAGGTCGCCGAGGCATTCCTGGACGACCCCTGGACACAAGTCCTCGTCAGCGCCATGCTGCATGCCTTGAAGGTTTCCGAAACTTGGAGGAAAGACGGGTGCACCGTCAGGAACCCGCACACGACCGATGCTCTCTCGCCAAGCGAAATCAAATGTGCAGATTGCATCAAGCGTCTCGGGTCGCAAAGGCCCTGTGAATGATAGTCTGGCCTGCACGAATCCCAGTGCTCGCCAGATATGCATGGGTCCGTCCACCGCGGAGGATCTGTGCGGTTGTTTGACACCCCATGTGCTCCCGGGAACCTCTGGCCGGAGGTCTTTCCCGCAACAAGAAGAGACGCACCACTGCCTGTCGAAGTCATCCTGCATCTGGACACAAAAGAACACTCTTTCCCGGCAGTGGTCACTGTATTTGTAGTATTGGAAGCTGCGCCGCTGGATTGATTTTGCCCACAGTTATACCATGTATTATACAGACGGAGATGACAGTACCACCGGAGTCAATGGAGGACTTGACCAGTAGCCGGGTGTTCGCGTTTTCCAACTCCAGTATGAGCTGGCCCGGTCGCAGGTATGGGACGGAAGGAAACGTTTGTGGGATTCGCTGGCTTCGTCGCCTCGCGTCGCCTCGTTTGTCTTTCGAAGCTGCATGTACCACTACAATGCGAGTGATCCTGCTGTCAAGCAATATGTCTGAGCGTGTGCCATCGATCTTGTGTGACCTGTCCCTGCCGCGCCCAGTCAGCGGTTCTTGGCCGTCAGTGTGACCTTCGTGCCATGGATAGGGCTAGATTTACACGTGGCCGTACCGTAAGTATTAGAGGCTGGCAGCAAGCCACTCTGTCTTGCTGCTGCTCCGGATACTCCTGGCGCACAAGTGCTGGAGCGGGCATGTAAGTGCCTTGAAGCCATGACGAGTGCTCTGCGCTGCTTCTGGCATTGGCCCCCTGTGGACGTTGCAACAGATCGAGTCGACAACAGGCGTCTGCAATAGATGCCATGGTGATCACATGCGGGCAGAAACCGAGCGACGGGTTGCCCTTGAAAGCTGGGATGCTGAATATTGTAGTACCCAGCTGCGGCGGCCACGGCCGACTGGGAAGTGTTAGACCGAACAACAGGAGGAGCTTGTGTGCTTGTGACGCAAAGGCCTTAGCAACCGCGGCCTTTCGGCACACTTGACTTCTGGGGAATTTGGCATAAATAGCTCCGACCAGCATCGCCTTCCAGAAGGAGTAAGCAGCAGATGTCGGTGGTGTCGAGTCAGACATTTGGAGTCAGTGCCCTTCAGGCTATTGGAGCAAGGGCGAGGCTGGGCAGGTGCTTGGGTCTAACGCTTTTCGGTGACTCGACGCCTATTCTGTCCCCTCTTCTTTCACGTGACCAGCTGGAAACCCTCTAGCCATTTGAGGAAGGTGATTTGTTCTTTCACGTGATAGCCGAGGTCGCCCGGTCAGCGAGCGCCGAGTCATCAGTGAGAGCAGGTCGGCCGAGTGTTTACAAAGTCTGAAGAGCAATGGACTGTTCATACGCCCTCAGTGATACTACGTGACTGCTACGTACAGGCGTGTTCGATCCGCCCTCCCCAGTGCGCCTGGATAGCTCATGGAACAACAATCTGCAATGTGAAAGCGCCTGCATGAGGTCAGGATGCACAGAAGCCGGGCTGTCCCCACGTCATGTTCATGCGCGCTCGCCGTTTCCAGCCTGCCCCTACTCGTCTTGAATCTGGTGCCTGCTGGCCGGGGATCTGACTGATGTTATTGTCCAGGAGCGGCTCGTTGACACATTTCTTAGAGATGCCCATCAAGGCCGGACCTCCCGCCCGCGAAGCCGCGCTCGGCTGCGAATCCCCACGAACGAACCCTCGAACCCTCCAAACGCGGGCGTGATCATATATATACAAGCTTGCTAGTGCAGAGAGCGAATCACAAGCATGGCCACGATCAGGAGCTCACATGGGTCAATCTTTCTGTACTTCTCCACAGACTGAATACCCGGACGTGGGCGCCCCATGAACGAACTGTTGTGGCCGGGCGAATGGACGCACTGATTCCCGCTGCACCTGTGCCATGGTTCTGGCCAATGATGAGATTATACCGTGATTAGTGATAATCTATCCATTGGGCTCGGTTTGGACAACAAAGACTGCGTCCAGTCAAGCGCTGATGCGTCGGTCGATTGCAGGAGCAAGAGTGGCGAAGCCTGCTGAGAGCGCCGGCGACCCAATGGTCCTGCTTTGTCAAACCCCCCATAAACACGATGCCATAGTGCCCCAATAAAAAGAGCTTTGGAACACCAACTGCCAAAAGCCAGGAGCGGAAGCAAAGAAGCAGACAAAAACCAACCAACAGTCATGATTCCCAAGCGGTCACCCACGAAGAGCCCTCGCTCGCTGGGTCAGGGACGCGCAAGGAACAATACAGGGGTCGCTCTAAGCTCCGAGCTTTCCTCCGCCCATTGAGATGCGCAGAATCCAAGTGATGATGCCTTTGGACGAGCTGGTTGCATGGAAAAGAGGCCAAATCAAAAGGAAGACAGCGAGCCCAAAAGCCCAGACGCCAGCTGCAGAGAAGAGCCACCCCAACACTGCCCTTGGAGATTTGGGGTTTTAGTGGGAGCCCGTTTTGTGCTCCGGTTTTCTGCCCTCTAAGCTTCCGCGGGAAAACGAGCGAAGGTGTCTTGCGAACCGACCTTCCTGAATACCTGCCAGACTCTTGACACGCTTGCCCTTGGATATCCAGCTTCGTGCGATCTTGCTGAGCCTGGCCTCCTTCTGCCCGCTCTTCTCTAATGCGAGATACGCTGCCGCTGCTGTCGGGGTAGTGCGACCACTCGACGATGCCCTCGCTCCGCCCCCCTTAATCTCAGAATTGCCAACGTCGATACATTCGGAGAGCCAAAATCCTCCACAATCCGCTAGCTGGGCGATCGACCGTCTTCAGGATCCCACGAAGACGGGCCGATGGTTGCGGAAAGAATCCAGCATGCGAAAAACCCGCATCATTCCATTGTCCGCGACTGTTGGTCAACGCAATTTAACCAAGCTGCCGACGAGAGAAGCAAAGACACATATCCTACCTCACGATCGGTTGCGAAGCTGGAATCTCCTCGCCGTTCGTCAGTACGCTGAAAGAGATGAGCAAAATGGAGGCTGTTCGTCCGTTGTACCACTCCCATCGCTCCCCTAGCAACGGATTGAACAGTGCTGGGCATCACTCGCAGGTCAAGGGCATTCGAAACAAGGTAGCTGCCATGCGAGGTACTCCTTTTCATGCATCAAAAAACAGCGAATGCTCCATACGGCAGGTGCCCCTCGGGACGACAAAGGAACCACGATCCGTACTCAAACAAGCAGAAAGCTCACCAAAAGAGGGTCAGGATGGCTGGGCCGTCCGTTACAGAGACCCAGACGTTGATTGCGATACGTTTTGCTTTGTTTTTGCAGATGGCCAATTTGCCGGTCGGCGGGGTCAACTGGCCGAAATGAACGCCGAGGCTTTCGAACCAACAGCATTTCTGCAACCACTCCCCCAAACGTGGCTCTGAGCCTGCGAAACACTTGGAAATGTCGATTGTGACACGCCAGGCAGGGTTAATCGTCGAGTCCGATCTTCTCCGATGAGTTTGTTGTCATCTGGGCTCCCCCCCCCCCCCCCCGCCGGGGGGGGGAGGAGGGTTTCGACGAATGCAGCACGATTTGGGCCACGATTCCTGTTTGCCATGCGGACACAACTATTGGAATAGCTGGCGTTGGACACAGAGGCACTGGACAACTGACTGAATGGCAGGAGAAAAGCCATCGGGACCTTTGTGTGCTGGCCACTGGTGCCACCGGGACAGGCACGCCGGCATCATTATTCCGCCGTTGCATTTCCCAATTGTGACAACAGCTTCTCGCAGATGACGAGAACCCAAGCAGGAGAGTGGATATCTTGTTGGGGATTCTACGCCAGACCAAGCGTGTAGTTGATTTCGGTGGAAACTGAGTCAGTTTGGGTTGAGGTATATCAGAAGCAGCATACTACGACTCTACAATCGAGAAGTTAGGAACCGCCACTGATGCAGGTTGCCCAGGGAGAGTTTGGCTACCTATCCGAGTTTCCCATGTGATTGCAGCATCAAAAAACCCCAAATGCAAGCAAGGAGACGGCTGTCTGTGCGCTGACGTCCCAGAACTTCTTATCAGCGTGTCGGACCTGTCGCTCTGACTTTCCCACCTCACCTCTTGGAGTCTTCGAGAAACGGCCAGCAAGCCAGCTGGCAGGGATCAGCTCAGTTCCGCCATCTAGAGGCCCAACGCTATGGGCGTGTTCCGGGCAAGGTGACGGAGCAAGCAGTCTCCCGGTGGCGGAAGCATCATCAGTGCCCTTTGATTGAGAGGCCTCTCGGCGAGCAATTGGCGCTGCTGGACGGTGGGTTGTTGCTGGGAGGAATATTCGAGAATCTGTCCGGGTCGAGTCATGTGCGGTGAGATTCGAGCTCAGTCAGGCATGGGATCCAGGACAATGAAAGAGCGCCCTGGAAGCACATGCCTGACTGAGCTCTGGGTGAGGAAGATGACTCGATCGGCATCGAACACGAATTTCTGAAAGTACTAACATTGTCGGCACAGGCACAACGAGTCAGATGGCCGGATCTTGCAAGCATGCAATCCAAACCCCGGTGTCGACGTCCATTTGCTGTTCCGCGGCAGTTGAGGGAACCACGAGTTGGCAGGAGACCGGGCGGAGTTCCTTCTCCACTCTGCTATAGTTCTGAACACCTTGCAGGGGGCTGGGTATATTTCTGGTTCTCCTAAACGAAGTGAAAAGAACATCTGCTCGCTCTGCAGCGGTCACTTCTTGCATGAAAGGCACTAGCTGGATCGATCTTTGCCTGTGGGTCGGCGGAACAGGACGATCTAGAGCGAATAGATGACTGTTCACAATGTCCCAGTCAACCCCTTTGTCTCGCTGGCAAGGACCATGGCATTCTCTGGGATCCCCATTCTCTTGTCGCCAGCATGCTGCTGGGTGCTCCAAATCAGCATGCTTGGTGCTCCAAATCTCGACCCATCTTGAGGCGAGGTGTGAGAGCAACCCTTTTTAGCATCCAAGCAACGGCCAGCATGCCAGATCTGCCACATTGCCCACTCCTTTCCTGGTAGTCCTTGAAGTCGGGTGGGCAACACTGGAAGCGCGATTCAGCCAATCGATTGTCTGCAATCAGTTCACAGGCCGAACTTCTCCGCAAAGGGAGTGATATGATTGGTGGAATTTGACATGCCAACTCGCTGCGAAAGCAACCTCTTTGTTCCGGCTATTCCACCGCCGCTCCATATGTACAGTACCTTCAATTGTCTCTGCAATCGACCACAGGATCTGGAAAGCATGGCTTCCCATTCGCTCAGCCGTCCTTAAGCCATATGCCGGTCAGTTATGACCAAGATGTTGCGGATGGTTTGGTACGGGCGGTGATGTGCATGATCGCAGAAGGCTTGTTCGTGGAGGCTTGCTCGTGGAGGCTTGTTCGTGGAGGGCTTGTTTGCAGACGCGCTTGTTCGCCAACCATCAATCCCCCTTCAGCGCCGAAGATCTCGTCGAGTCCTTCAGAAAGCTGGACTCTGCGGTTGGGTTCTGTTCGAGCTTGGTGTATATATGGGATTCATATTGCATAAGTCGCGTGTGCTTTCGATCTTAGGCCGGTATTCGATGTTAACCCTCGATGCCACCCCAGAGGAACCTGAATTCCTGCAGCCCGCATCGAGAACTATATTCCGGCGCCTGCAGCGGATCTCGTCGTTGAGGACGACAGACCATTGCGTCGTACCAAACAAGACACGTCCGACCACGGTAGAGGCATGCTCGGCAAGAAAGAGAGCGAAATTCAATGTCCTCGGATGGACTCGATTGTATCATATGTGTCGATTGAGAAGGAAGAATGGTGCGAGGCGAGGCGAAAAGGGGGGGGGGGAAAGCAGGTTTGATGTAGAACCGGCCAGGATTCAAGATCCCAGGTTTTTGGTCGAGTAGGGCGGGAGAAGGCCTCCTGGGGACCTCGGTACCAAACTGCATGCCGGCTAATCACTCACCATTAACACCGCTTAGATCTCAGCGTGGGGGGTCATCTCCATTGAGAACGAGGCGAGAAGCTTAACCGATGAGGGTTCTTAGCTGTCCAGGGTCAAACCATGCAAGGCCTCATGACTTCAAACCACCCTCCGCTTGTCGTCTGCTTCAAGCAGGTCGCCCTCCAGGTAAGTCAGTACGAGGGACGGATACCTTGTCAATGCAGGCTGCCGACCAATCCTTGCGTGCTGAACTGGCCTGGCCCGGGTCGCCTCACCTCTCCTGACTTTCTCCCGGGCTGCGTCAGAGCGGGCACCTGTGAGTACCCAGGCCAGACAGGGCTGAGGGTTCGTTAGTGGCGCTGGGGGACCTTGCTGATGATTGGACTCGGTGCCTTTGCCGAGGGCACTCAATCCGTTCGTCCTTGCTATCATGTGCTGGCCTCCAGAGTTTCGAGACGAATGGGCGGCGAAAGACTGGAAGACACTATCTCCCATATTTGTGCAAGAAGCTGCGGATCGTCTGCGTGTCGTGGTGTCGCGGTGTCATGGTGTCGTGGTGTCGTGGTGCCGGGCAGTGTTGCCAGGACTGCAGTCCTGGCTGCAGTCCATTAGTCATCCGCCAACGGAGCGATATGATTGGTGGAACTAGGCTGAATCTCCGACCTGGTATAGACCTTGGTCAATCCAGTGTTTCAGGCACTGCGAGGCCTCAAAAGATCTCGCTGAAAGGCGATTACGTTCCACAGCGCCAATTAGGCGGATGAGGCGTAAAAGATCATGTCTTTATACCAATCTACCTATTGTCTACACACCACGATAGTGTGGAACTACTCGATAAGCAAACACCGTTCAATATCGATGGCGAGGGCGATTCGATACTAGGTTGTATAAAATCTAACATTTCCACACACAACTTCCTAATAAAACTGTCGACCTAGGTGCTAAACGATATTTTGTGGGCTGTGCTAAGGTGCCAAGCCTGACTGCAGTCCTGGCAACACTGGTGCCGGGTGTGCTTGGACCGCTGCTCTCGCCCCTGACCGAGCGCAAGTCATTTGGGTCGCCTCTGAACCGAAGGAGGGGCTTCTGGATTACACCGAGCTTGCCGCATAGGTGAGTCCATCATGCGGATGATGGGAGCAGAGCGAGACGGCGACTGCCGGCCAGGTTGCGACCAAGTGCGTCGGGATAGCACATTTGGCGTGGATTGGTGATGCTCATGGCAGTGGGAGAGATGGTGCGTGGACACAAGGCAGAACCCCTCACGTCGAGGGCGACTTGGAGCGCTTCCAGATGCCGGGGAGCTGCAGAAATAGGCGCCACCTCAGCCTGGTGAGTTTCCACTGGCCATCCGCAGCAAGGTGTTGTGTGTGACCAAATCCGTGGTCAGTTGTATGCAGTGTTTGCCAGGACCATTGTCTGACTATCCCAAGGGCCTGGTACCCTTAGCAGGGCCATAAAGGTGGCGATTCGTGCCTGAGCCCACTATTTTACTCACAAATTGTGTGTCAAAATGTCGGATTTGGTACGGCGCGAGTATCGACTCGCCCTCACCCTTCCAGTGGGCTTTTGACACTCTGTCAATACCTATATCCACAGAACTTGAGAGTGACCTTTAGCCAGTTAATAGGACGATAATAGCAGATTCGCCTTTCAGCGAGGTCTTTTGAGGTATCGCAGCGCCTAAACCACTGGATTGATCCAGGTCTATATCAGGTCGGAGGTTCGGCCTAGTTCCACCAATCAGAGCTCTCGATTTGCGGATGATTATAGTCCTGACAACAACTGCCCACCTGGGCCTCGTCTTTCTTCTCGCCGCTACTGCCTCGGTTGGTGACGCTGCCACCAGCATTTGGGAGGCGTACGTCTCTGGGCTGAATGACAATATCACGGTCTCCTGCTGGTCTGAAAGGAGTGCCGCCAGCTGGTATTCTTTCATAGTTCGTTCACAACACCACAGTCCCTCCCATCTCAGTGATGTCGGCAGACAGACGGGCACCTGCCCCATTCGAGGATTCATTCAGCCCAAGCGGCCTTGTACGCCTCTTCCTCCAACTCGGCGAATTCAATGAGATCGTGGAGATCGTCAGTAGACAGAGTCATGGTGGCTGACTTGAGAGGTGCAACATCAATGACTCCTCCAACAGGGCAAAAGTCTTCGAGCGACAACACGAGGCCGGCTTTGCCGTCTGGATTCTTCAAGCCGTCTTTGCTGCGGATCTCCTAGTGGACAGAAAGTGATAGCCCATACAACATATGATAGAAAGGAACCTTCGTCTTACCACAGCATCATTCCCCCAGAGCCGAGTGAAGTATCGTCATATAGTGGAAGTCAAGGTGGAGGTGGAGGTGGAGATGAAGGTGGTGACGGCGACAGTGACGGTCGCCCAGTGGGTTACTTGTGCGTGTAGATGATGTCTGTTTGGAAATGACATGGTGTCAGAGGTAGGAGATGAGGCGGAGGTGGTGAGCCCACTCAAGCTCCCGTATAGTTCTGCGGTAATGAGTTGTCTATGCAGATAAAGCAAGGAGTCCTTCTACCTACTACCCAGATCGTAGGAAGGGTGTTCAGATTGGAGAACCAGAGGCCATTGTTGCGGTGGTTTTGGAGGACACAGATGTGATGAAAGAGGTCAAGGAGGTCAGTGTTGCTGATAGAAGATGGCGTGGAGACAACAAGAGGTCAAAAGGAAAGCACCTAGGCAATGAGTTGGATCAATAGTGGTGGAGGTGTTGGAGAAGGCGGCACTACCGCTCAAACGGAGGCAAAGGAGAATGCAATTGTTTATCGCGTGATGGCCATACCTACCAAGGTAGCGTTCTGAACATTATCCTTTCCGATAAAGACAGGTGGATATCTGAAGCTCTTGGGCTCTGTGCAATAAGATTTCAGGCGCTCAATACCCAAAGATCGATGGCGTGCAGCCGGATGGGCTTTGCGGGATAAGGAGTCGCCGCCGCGTACTGCAACTCTACTGGTGGTTTGGGCACCGAGCGGCCCCGGTAAGCATGCCTAACAGACGGCTGGGCACCGTTAGAGACGGCCCCTGAGGGCCCCAGAGAGCCCCCAAATCCCTATGTTTTCCCGTCCAACCTCCACCCGTCCGTCGCCTTCCGCCCAGTGGCCTTCCTTTGCCGATGCGCACCCTAAGTCGATATCGCCCTCCAGGGCAATCAGCGACGCCATTGAGGACTGTGCATGATCTGACTAGCTCTCCATTTAACATTGTACCAAGATAAGCGACCTGGATGAGTAAACACGAGGGCGGGTCTCAGAAACCGCCAGCGCCTGAGGCAATTTTGACAACATCATACCAACCCACTATCGCCAACCACACTGCCAAAAACCGACGCCCCAATCCTTCCCAGCACGTCCATTACATCTTACTCTGGTCTTGCATGCACTGTCAAGCCAATTATCATCTCACATTTCCTCGAGTCAAAGACATATTTTAATACAAGACCCCCCTCGCTTCCCCTACACTCCCCACCGTGTCTCCGTTCCAAATCCTAGGAGCGAGGCAACGTCAATGAGCTCGCATGCAGCCATCGACGGGTCGGGTCAGGTCTAGGCGCTGGTGACACCGAATCTCAGAAAGATGTGGAGCCCGCCGCTCATGCATGCGACTATGAGTGACCATGGGTATAGGTGCGTCGACGACCCGATGGCTGCTGATCTAAGAGTTAGCCTCGTCTAGGAATCTACTCTACTGGTCAAGAAGAGGAGCCGAGAGATATACCAGCATCTTCCATAACTCCCACGGTGGCCTTCATGGAACCAAGGGTCTTCGCGTCAGGCTTGATGGCATCCAGGTTATCGTGCAATTGCCGAGTCTTGCGGCGGAAGAGCGCGATCACCTCTTCAACTGCATCATTCAGCTGTGTCGGCTCGACGTCCTGGCTAGTGGCAGCCTCGATCCACGATGAAAGGACGAGACCCGACATGAGGAACGTCTTCCACCAGTCTTCCAGCGTGATGCGATTGGCTCCGTGACGTGCAGCAAGGTCGCGCAAGGCTTGTTTGTGCAGCAGAGGACAGACATTGGGAAAGCGGAGGTTGTGGGGTGCGCCGAAGCGCAGCTGGTGGCTTGTAAACCATCGCAACGCGGTTTTGATCTCGTCGTCGTCGGGAAAGTAGCTCATGGCGCCGATCTGGAAAGGGCGGAGCTTTGCGGCCTCGTCCACCCCGTCCTTCCCTTCGGTGATGATACGGTCCAACCAAGTCATGTCGAAATGGAGGTCGAGAGGCCCTTCAAGGCCGTGGTCCTGTCCCAGACATTTGAACAGGAGACGGGGCATGTTCCCGTCCACCAGGCTTGTCGCGGCCAGCTGCTCCGAAATGCTAGCTTGTGGGCTGGGCCCCTGGCATTCCTCGCAACGCCAGGTGGAATCGTCACACGGACGGTTGAATACAATGCACGGCAGACATTTCTGGTGGACAGGGACGAGGTCTTCGCCGACGATGGGAGGATGATCCATCCTGACAAGCCACAGGTTGATGTAAAAAGACCGGGCGACGGTGCAAAGATGTGATGTAAGTTTGAGGCTGAAACCGTCGTGCTAATTTAGGCTTCACGCAATCGACTGGAGCAAAGATACAACGGATAGTTCGATCAATATGCTTTTAAGCATTCCCGAGATTGAGAAAGAAGAAGACAAAAGAGAGAGAGATAGAGTTGGCAGCACGACGGAGGGAGCTGGTTCAGGTGCCCTCTGCCCTATGCCCTCTGCCCTCTGCCCTCTGCCCTCTGCCTACGCCGCGACAATCACCACCCACCCCTCCCAGCTGTCAAACTGATGCAGACGGCTCAAATCGACCTAGTTTAGTCTGGGCATCTTGATTTCTACAAGGCTCTGAGGGAGCTGGGATGGCCTCTATCGAATAAGAGATTGACCTGGACGAAGTCGTGATCTCATGAGGCATTTAGCGTTCCATTGGGCGCATGGCCCGCGTGGGAGCCATTGGTCTACCTACAGGTGTTGAGGGATGGCATCCCCTGCGTGCGCTCACTGTGCCAATCAATCCAGGCGGTGTCAAAGTGAGGAGGCTTCCTTCGGCCCTGGCCGCCCTCGAGCCCCAACTCTGAACCATGCTGGCTGCTCGATCCGACGTCCGATGTTTGAGGGGTGTCATACAGAGCCAGATTAGTGCACAAGGCGAGTCCGGCCACAAGCAACTCGACCATTCAGCACTCCGGCAAGGCCAGCACCCAACAAGCAAGCAAGCAAACAAACAGACCAGAGCAAACATGCGATCTCGACCTCCTCTAGGAATGGCTGGGAGGCGTCGACGTCGTTTCTTTTTCTTGTGACGAGCGAAGTGGCAGAAATCCCTTGCGTTGCTCGGCACTGCCACGGGCCAGTCAACGTAGGGGGTCTCCGCTGCCGGCAGACTCTTTCCGGCTTCCCCAGCCCTGCAGTCGTCCCTGCCCGCCAATAGAATCCCGCCGAAAACGCGAGTCCGAGGGGCCCTTTCGCTTCGTCGCCCATCTGAACATGGCAATGATCCCCAGTGGCCTCCAACCACATTCAGCATCACCTTCCATCACATATTGGAGGGACAGGAGTGGCCCAAATACTGGGAAATCTTCCCTGCAAACAGGGAGTACGGATGTCACTGGGGGCGGGCTGGCGTGCTAACCGGAATGCATTGACTTGCTCTGTTCCTCTGGGGACAAAGGGCTGCCACTGACACCAGGCGAGGCAGTGGGCAACTCCTGATTGAATCAATGGGAAAACGGGTCACTGGCCACATGCATGCTCTTGCATCCAAGCTCAGCCAAGCGGTCAGGGACATGCTGAGAGCCAAGCCCCGTCTCTGCCTGTGTGGGAGCCAGAAACACATAAATGGCAGAGCTGGCCGCCAGCCTTGCTCCGGAAGTCTTCACCGACTTCTTTACCCGTTCACGCTTTGCTCGTCGATTCACGCAAGTCACCATGTTCAACTCTTTCTTGTTCTGCAGCGCCCTCAATGCCGTCTTCGCCCTGCCCTATTTCCTGGGATGCATTGGCTCCTGTCGAGCTGGCCGCGGAGCCAAGAACCGCATCTACTTGCTCAGCAGCCTTGCCAATTCCACCACGCAGGTGCTCTTTGCCGTCCTTCTGATCGTCGCCGCCGCGCGGCATTGGCGTTCCAAGGACGCCGTGGCCATTGCTCGGAGTGCGGTGTTCTGCGAGTCGATGTTTGAGGTATCGTTTGCGGCACCCACCCTCGATGCGCCGTCAAACCCTAATGCACGAGATAGGTCATCGAGATCCTCCGACTCATTGAATACTTCTATCTCCGAGCCTGGGGTGTCTGCAGCAAGCTGTCGCTGATGGCCGCCTGGCTTGTCATCACCGTTGGGCTGATGGCGTTGACGTTCGTCTTGTCAGTATTGATCCAATCCGAGAAAAGAAGGAAGTTTCGGTAGTTGATGATTGCAAACGCAGTGACGACAACGTCACCAGCGGGACGCTGTTCCTATTCGCCGTTGTCGCCAACTACGAGATCAAAATCCAGTGGGCCGGTTTCTCCATCCCCTGGATGAAAGAAGCCGAACGAAAGCACCAACGGCGGGATCCCCCCCAAGAACCGACGCCGGCCTCGGTTGGCGTTCTCTTGGAATCCCTGCGCGCGTTCTTCTATACCGTCGTCGCGCTGGTCGCGCTCATGGGCCTGCTCGTGTGGGAAGACAAGTGGCCCTTTCTCTATAGTGTAAGCTCCTTCTTCTTCTTTCCTCTCCTCTCCTCCCTTCCAGATATCTCGCCCAGAGTTTCTGCCACCGGTTGTCTGCTGTCCACTGACCAAAAGGGCCAACAGCTGCAACTGCTGCTCGTCAACTTGATACTGGGCTTCGCTGGTTTCGACAGGGTGGTTTTGTACATATACCCTAAAGTGCGCCAGCCGGTGACCCCGCACAACAGCCCCGCCTTATCCCCAAGCCTCGCACCTGACAGCCCACCGGAGGACGTGCCAACGTGCAGCGGCGGACTGTGCTGATTCAGAGCACAACATCTCTGCAAGAGCTCGGCATTAGGGACAAGAAGAAGGAACCCGCGAGGGCCACACACACACACAACTCAAAGCTACAACGGTGGGTGTCAAAATTGTGGGAATTTGGAGATTTGGGACTGTTGTCACGAGGCTATAGCGATGCCTCTCAAAAGCTTGGGAATCTTGGTTCTGTCCTGTCTTCTATGCATCTCGTTGGAGAAAAGAAAGGGGGGAAGGCTCCTGCCTCATACTACCATTGGTCAGACACTTCTGGGGGTCGCTGCTGTTTCAACAACGGCATGACAACGGACCTGTGTAGCTCGTTGTGGCCAAGTCAAGGGGTTCTATATAGTTTGCTCTTCTACCATCATACCATGTAGTGCTGACAGGGGGAGACAGAGGTGGCGGGGGTGGCTCGGTCATGGTAGAACCTTTCGGGATGTCTGGGTAGACCATTCCTCGCAATGATTCACCTACCGAGAGAAGTTTTCAGGTTCAATCCACGGTTTCCAGCAGCTTCTTTTCCACGGAGGGTCGACGGGACCCAAACCGTCGAGTTTCCTCAGCCTCAGTATCCGGCCGGCAGCTGCTGGAAAGCCATACTCAAGATACGCACGGGTGACATTTCCATCACCACCCAACCCCCCTCCCTCCCTTCCAACTCACCAGAACGTCTCCCCTCGGAGAAAGAAGTCGCTGTCACCCTGGATGGAAGGCGTCAGGGGTACGGCGAGAGAGGGATCAACCCGTGTTCTGGCCATGTGAATAAAAGAGCGGTGAGGGAAACAGACTTTTCAGTGGGCGCAACCACAACTCAAAGGGCAAGGCTTGAGGTCAGGCAAAGGCAGCTGATCCCCGGGGCAGGGCAAGGACAGGGACAGGGAGCGAGGGGGGCAAGCCGCCCCAACAGCAGGGAATACGAGCCTGTCAAAAAAACGACACTCGTTGCTGCCTGGCACTGAATGATTCGTCGTTTGCGTTTTTGTTGGGGATGTGTTGCAACAGGGTTTTGGCAACCGGGGCTGAAAAGGCGTGGTAGAGAAGAGACACCAGTCTGTGGGGATTTTTGATGGGCAGGGCTGGCCTTGGAACAGACGTGCTTTGCTTGAAAGTAATTGAAGTTGGCCACCACCATCTTCAACCGCCAGCCTCTTTGTTCGAGATACGCAGTCGGTCGTGGTTTATGCTTGCTGGTGATGGTATTCGGAATTTCCCTTCTTGCTGTTGCAAGATGACTTATGGATGATGACTCGGGGGTGTCCTCGGGTTTCATGACGTGGGTTTCGCATGGGTCAATTTGGGCCACGGCCACGGGGGATCATCTTCGGGCCAGGAATGGCTAATTGAAGTCTCGACAGCGTAAACCAAGTACAGCATATAGCATGTCCCTCGTTTGCCGCCGGGGAACGTCTGTAATCAGGGGTCGAGAATAGTGGGTGACTATGGTGTGACGGTCAGGCTGAATTCGTAGCTATTAGCGACTCACCTGAGTATTTCCAGGAGGGGATTGTTCAACAAGTGAATCTTCGTCGGCTTGAGACAGGTGCTCGCCTTCCTTCTTGTCTCCCTTGCAGTTGTCGGTGTGATGTCGGTTTTGCTTGGCCGGCAACGTTCGACGACGTGAGGTGCAGTCTCGTTCTTCCTCCGCCGCCGGTGCTTTTTGTGCGTGCACAGCCTGAACCAGGCAGTATGGTCTGGCTCCAATGCAAGCAGGAACCCGGGCATGTTTTGACGACCGTTCCTCCCCCTACGCAAATTTCGGGGCATGATTTTCAACGTTATTCCCCGTCGTTTCAACACTTTTGTTCTGGTTCACGGTTGTTTTGTCCGACGCTTTACTCCTCCGCCTGCCGCTTTCATAGTTGTTGTAGTCAAGGGCAGGAGCAGATGCGGGTGAAGAGGACGGGGAGGGCCCCTCTCGAGATGTTTGTGTACCACGGGTGCAGAAGATCGATATGTTTCGGCTTCACCGGTTGCAGTACGGCGAACCACCCGAAGGAGCAATTGCCGTTCCTCGCGGGAGTGGAATAGATGTTTCGGTAGTCACTGGCACGCAGCAGTGTGCCGTGAGGGAGACCAAAGTCGGTGGTGGACGAGGGTGTCGAAAGTCCCTGCGATATCATCATCAGACCAAACCCATCTCGAAAGACTTGGAACTTCTCGCGGGACGAGGGAGCCATCTTCCCAGCAATCCTCACAGGCTTCGAACCTGGTAGTAGCACATCCATGGGCGTGTATAGTATATCGTAGCGACTCCAGCACCGTCGAGGCTGAGATGCCCCAAAATATCGCAGGTGCAGAACTCCGCATCACGTGGGAAATGACATACCAGAGAAGCAGTCTTGGCGTGAAAATATTGATTGGATCAGAGCCAAAGCTTGCTGGTCGACCCTCCCAAAGTCGACGAGTAGAAACAGCGCTTGCCCAATATAAAACATACCATTCAATGCGTCTCGACGAGGCGAGCTTAATGGTACTAATTGCACAAAATTCCATCATGGGTCCAGCTTGCTGCGGGCCTTTGTTTTTGGGAGCCCGCTTTAAAGGAGCCTCTTGGCTCGTTCCAGCCTATTGGAGGCATCACAGTCATCTCCAACACGAGTCATACATCTGGAAATACACGCGTCAACCGCCGCTTGTGGATTTGTCGGGTCATGGCAAGTCGAAATAGGCAATCAATTATCCGGGACGGGCCAGATGCACGAGTCATGCTTATAGTGATCGCTACAACCATCGCAAATCAAAACGGGAGAAACTACTCGTGTACAAGGCAATCAGTCGGCTCATGTTTCCGCATCGTTATGTTATAGTGGTCATTGACACTCAGGAGGGGTGGCTCTCCTGCTCCCTGGTCAGCGGGGCGCAGCGGGCTAAAGGAATGCAACCTCCTGTGAGCTCTTTATCCAAACCGCCTTCTGCTTAGCTGGAAAACTGAATTTCGGAGCAAGGTTTTCGTTGGACGGCAATTGTCTTTAGGGAACGCAAGGGAAAGGCGGAGAGATTTAACCTTTTGGGATTGAGGTCATCTGTCCCTCGCTCAAAGCAAAATGAACCCACTGGCATGGGGCACTGGGTAAATGACTACCACCGCTGCTACAAACAGACTTCTGAGCTACGCTTGAGCTGAATTCAAAATCAGATTGCTGGTTCATGAAAACCCCAATGCAGGAGTGGCAATTCCCCGAAGCAGCTATCTGCAAAAAGTGTATTCACCAATGGCTCTTCCTCTTCAATCGCTGGGGGTTTGGCCTGCCATACTCGCCGAACACCAACAATCGACCCGCCGGAGGCTGCACCAGCTTATAACAGATTTGAAAGTAGGCACCGTGGCTGCATTTGTCTAATGTACCGTGACCTCTGCCTCCGCAGCTTAGCAGGTAGTGGTAATTGGGTGAAAGGGGATGGAATTGAGTACAACGGTGGCGATCACGTGACCGCGATACCATGTGGAAATTTCCCCGGCCAGTTTCAGTCATTCGAGGTTTTCATTATTGCCACAGTGTGCCCTGCACGGTCAATTTGTGCGTGCTTCTTGGTCTCGAAATGTCCTTCTCTTGCGCTGCGAGATGTCGTACCGTGAAAAAGGATGCGGGCTCGAGTCGGACACTTCCAGCGAGTTGATGGGACGAAAGGCGTCAAAGTAGCTAGCTACCCTAGCTAGCTCGATGTCGAATGGTGTCCGGTGAAGAGAGTAACGCGCCAAGATCTTCCCGCTTGTCATGGGCGTTCAAGAAGGCATGGGATAGTGGTTTGGACGGAGGCAAGGTTAGGAAGATGCGGAAAGGGGTGACGGGAGAGCTGAAGGTTGCATCATGAGTACGACCTGGTTTGGTCATAGCATTCCGGTCTCTATGCGGGAAAACATGTCAGCCAGCTCCTTGAATTAGCTGCACGAATGAGTATCTTTGTGCCAACAACATTGTTTCCGATGAGCTGCCCGGAAGAAATCTATCTGTTGCTCGCAAACTGCGCTGAATTAACGATGAAGAGTGCAGGTAGCCTTGACAAAGTTGGACCATCATTGCTTCTCGTGAAGCCAGGCTGCAAGTCTGAAGATTATACAAGGCCAGTAAATGGACTGAGGCTAGCAGTGTGGTTGGACACTCTGCTCAAAAGCGCAGTCCACACATCTCTTGTCGTAAAATCGTGTGCCCAGCCTCGCAGCCTTGTAGCCTCGTAGCCTCGGCAACAACATGTTCCCCGCACGAGGTGTTGTCTCCGCACGGCCACAAATTGAATTGTTTGTTTATTTGAGCCTACGCAGTTTACTCTATTCATTGCAAGATGTCCTGCACCTGATCCTGTCATACTGGGTACGCTGTGCTGACCTCCTAACACAGAGTGAAGCAGGCTCCGAGACGAGTAGCATCAAGGCGAGAGCGCCTGCATGCATATGCTGAACGAACCGACTCCGCAGATGTCCTCTGTACCAAGCCGAGCTTACCATCCCCCATGGATGCACCGACCCGCACCCGTCGCCCCGAGCCGTGAAGCCAGCCTGGCTATAGCAATGTCATGTGAAGTCTGAGAATGTTATGCCCCGCCTGGCAAAAGCGGTGGACTCACCCAGAATGGGTAGGTCACAGAATGGTGACACGGCTTTGCAAGAGGGGGACGTCGATGAACAATCAATCGGCGAAACCAACAAGGAGCAGACTCGATGGAAGAAGCCTCGAAGGCAGCACTTGCCTTGATTCTTCCCACAAGGCGAGAGCAAGCAAGACCAGGCCCGTCACCGCATGGCTATCCTTTCAAATGAGACATTCGGGCGGTAAAGCAGGGCAAGCATCTCAACGCAGTCTTCCACATATGCATCTGCCTTCGTATCCATGTCCTTGTCGGTCTGCACCGTCCACCATACCAGTATACCCGTGGAAAGAGCACCATGGATCGACCAAAAACATCCATCGGGGAAGAACAACCACGAATTCCAGAGGCGAGAGCTCCGGCACTTCCCTGCACCGCTGCAAAGACGCCGACAATTATTTGCTTTTTCTTTTGGCCATTCTCTCTCGACAACGCTAAAGGTGCAGTACCGCCACCCAATATCCATCCTTATCGTGGTACTGTTGCATTTGAATACCAATCATATCGTGGAAAAGAATAGGTGTCGTTGCACCGGACCGAGAGAAAGAGTGTGTGTGGTGGAGATATCAACACGCTAAGACAATGAGCCCCAGGGTTGGAAGTGCTGTTCTCCAATTATCAATGAAAGGGTCGGCACGCAAGTTCCCGAGCACACTACTTGCTACTCGTCTTGCGAATCATCCCGCACAAGTAATAATATTGAATCGTTGAGCACACATCCGTCGCTATCTGCCCGACCGCTGTGGAACCAGTTGTGGACTCCCTTTCCCCGAGCTGTGGGTAGGTAATGCACCGCAAATTCCTTCTGTCGCACTGCAGGCCGCTCCAAACCGTCGACGAGGAGCTGCTTCGGCCAAGATCCTTCTGCCAACACAGGTACATGTGAGGTGCAGATTGATAGGATGGAATTGACCAATGACACCCGATTTCGTCGAGTCGTGCTGACTCGAGCGTCGCTCAATCGCCGGGCACTGCCGGCATCGGCCAAGCCAAGCACCGACGACCTCCGTACACATACACTCCTTGTGCCCACTCAGATTTCTCGTTCTTTTGGTCGGAGCACTCCCGCCCTTTCGAGGGCTATACGACCCGGGGACGACAATCAGAAAGAAGGATGAGACCAGTTCGACGTGGGTGTTGTAAGAGACACACCCGAGGCCGAGGAAAGACTTGCTAACATGTCTTGTGCCCAGATGTGCCCTCCAGGGTTCCGCCTTGCCTTGCCCAGCCTTGGACATGATGGACGACCACCGGCCCTTGCTAGCCCTCCTTCGTGCTCAATCTTGAGGAGCATTGGCCCTCTCCTGTTGTCACTATCCTTCGAGGGACGCCTGACGGAAGCCCGATCACCATCAACAAAACGCCGTGGTCTGCCAGACGGAATTCCCACCTCATCATACATGTGTCCCATTACTGATGACGGCCCCCCCTCGAGGAATCACTACGGCAAAATGTGGAAATGATCAAGAGAAGGCGTGTGGCTTTGCTCAAGCGGAGATCTAATGGCCAACCGCTTGTGTTACTGCCCCTGATCCTCTTGAGCCATGTGCCCGGACTGTCACCAACACTGCGTGGAATATCGCTCCGCAACAGTGCACCCATAAGCCCAGAATGTCAAATGTATGCAACCGTTCCCCAGTGTATGTGCCACATATGTCTGACAGGTTGTCCGGATAGTATGAATTTCTCATACTGCAAGCGCCTGAGCCCAGGTCACCGCTCCCGTTACTGCGGTTGAGCACGACCAAGGCTCGCCCGTCTCCTCCTTGAGGCTCAGTCGGTGCTGGTTCATCGCAAGAGACTCCGAGGACGGCGACATTGTTGTCAGCTATGCCACGGCTGCCCCCTGAACGAGCGTCGTCACCATGCACCCCCAAATGTCGGCTTATACGCCATGCTTAATGCTTACGAACGAATCCCCTTCCAGGCTTGAACGAGCGCGATGCCATATTCCGCCTCGAAGTTCTTGCATGCTCGATGGACTGCAACAGGGCGAGGTCCCCGTTTCCATGGCTACACCCTTCCGCTACCGAGTACCAGCTACCTACAGCAGCTATCTTCCGGCTACCTCGCCCAGCACTACTTCTCCCACTTGGTCAGGGAGGAAGTCATTGCGAATGTTGATCCAGTCAAGGTGCATCGTCACCCTTCCCCTTGTGCGCTGCCAGTGCCACAAGGTTTCCCCCTTCCCGGCCGGTTGATGGCGGTCGGGTTGGATGGGGCTACGGGCACTTCTTCACGCCGACAACAGAATGGTGGAACCGGAGCGACCGATTGGACCTTTGGTTCAGTTTGGGGAGACTTGCCTCGTGGCTTGTCTCCGTTCCTGTGCCCCGTTTCAAGAGTCGGCGCCTGTCGCATCTGACGAATGTGACATGGGAAGATGTTGTTCCTCAGTCAAGCTGCCAAAGCATGTCTTTGTTGCGCCCACCATCCCTACTCGAGTCCTGTATCGGGACACCGGCCGGTTTCATTGACGCTCTAAGTGGTGTTGATGTTGCCGGCCGTTTGTGGAGTCGCAGTCACCAGGCTGTGAGGCATATATTGTCGGCAATCTGGCCTGTCTCCACTCAACTGTCTGGATTATCCGGTCAGTATATATATACGTCTGTGGATCTATTCACGGGCTCTCTCAAGGACGGTTTGCTTGTGACTGCGGCCCAGAATATGCCCAGTCCTGTCAACCAAGCCTTCGCACTGTCATCGCACCTCCCCGTCGTGACACGTGCCTCTCCAGGACACACAGCAACCTTCTCAACCCCTTGTCTTGCCTTGATCGCCCGGCCCAATGTTCCGCGTTCGTCCTCTCGGTTCCCCCTCCCGGTTTTCGATATACGAGGATGAGCACGTCAGTCTTTGCTATGTCAATGTCGATATGACTGGCAGACCATTTGATTCCTCGATACAACGGCACTTACTCTCTTCCCTTATCGTCGGAAGTCCCAGAACGGTACTCTATACATTGATCGAGGTCCCCAACAACTGACGGTTCCTACGCAAGGGACTTGCAATATAGGGGATCGAAATCATCCTCACCGGCCCTGGGAACAAGATATTCCCGACGATTAAAGTCGTCCACATTGCCGTGAGACACGGAATCCTTTGTCTCAATTCAGTTATGGATTATACCATACGGATTGGGAAACTTGTGTCGGTGGTTAGCCTGTATCCTTCGGAAAAGGATCACAGGGCTAAGACTGCCTCTGGGGGGTGTGTCTAGCACCTCGTTGGGACTCCCCTTTTTTCTGCCGTGGCCCTGTATCCTTAAGAGAAGGATTACAGGGCTAAGACCGTCCGCCCTGCCCCTCTTGGGGATGGAGTTTTGTTGCCTTTGTCCTGTATCCTTGGAGAAGGATTACAGGCAGTGGCAAATTCGATTCAACGTGTCGCGGCGGCGCGTAGGACAATGGTCCTACGATCACATAAGGTTGAACACAAGGGAGAGATCCACCTCCGCGCTACTTTGGACGCGCAAGCAGAAAAGTTGAACCAGGAACGGGCTCGCCGCGAACAACGCCGAGCTCAATGCTCAGCAGGTGGCTGCCTAGCCCCTGGTTGGGACTGGTTTGTTTGCGTTCTAGCCGTGTAATCCTTCTCCGGTCAGAGAAGGATTACAGGGCTATTGCTGCCCCGGGGAGGAAGTCTAGCCTTTGGGAGAAGAGGCTGGGTGTGAGTTCTTGATATCTATCGTCCCCTGTGTGGAGGGGGCGACAAACGTTTGTACCGCCAGCGTGGAACTTCCCACTGTGCTACTCTCGGAATGCAGGAGGGTGCCATGCTGTACTCGACGGCGCAGGAAGTAGGATTCCCGCCGTCGACGATGAAAACTTCTTTTGAAACTACCTTTGTGTGTTCTTGCTTGTCCTAGCCCGTCGCTCGCTGTCCGTGATAGTCCTGTCGTCAAGTCCCCCGCTGCTATGTTGCCCGACAGGAAGACTTCATCAGCTGCTGACCTTGTATCAGATCAAGAGCCTGCTGCCTTTGGGGGTCGACGGCATTCATATAGTGTAGCGGTCACGGATGCGCTCTCGGTTCAGAGACTCGACCTTGCCTTTGGGCTGCCGACGTAGATTATGCGATGGTTTGTTTGCCCTCGTCCTTCCTGAACATCTCCCTCGAGGCACCATTGCCAATTCGCACGAGAACCCAGTTGGCACATTCTGCATACACATGATCACATTGACGCTGCATGCTATCAAGTTCATGGTGATAGAATCATGGTTCTCACCTTAGACAGACTCATTCACAGTTGGAGAAGGACGAGCCCACCTGGCATGATGGACAAGACGGACCCAGCACGTCCTCGATTCGTCAGATCCAGCACCACTCACGGCGAAGCGGCATAGCCAGCAGCACTCGGAGATCCGAGAAGACGTCGCCATATCTGTGCACCTCAGGTCCGGACGGCAGGCCAGCATGCAACCCTTCCAGGGGCCCGCTCGTCCCTCAGCCTTCCGTCGTCCTCCGCCGCGCCGTGTCCGTCATCCTCATCCATGTAACACGGGCTGGCGCCTCCAGCAGCAGCTTTTGTCGGCGGCACGTATGGGGGCCTCAATCTCTGTCTGAGAAGACCATTCCACACGACATCAGCCAACCAGACATCTTCCTCGACAAGCTGGATCCCCTGCCGACTTTGTTTCCAAACCGCCGGGTCCGAATCCCCGAGGAGCACACGTTCCATCAGTTCTGCTGCATCAGTGTACATATCAGGCGGATGCCCTCCCTTTTCCTCAAGAGCTTGTTGCAAAACGCCACGGACCAGAGGTCGCCTCCGAGTTCGAAAGGTCGGGTGTCTCGAGAGCATCGGGAATATCAAGGTCCACCACGGCCACCTGCCCAAACATCTGCAACACTTCCCTGCCTAGCAGCACTTGTTGTCTCCTTTATGCATCGGCTGGTAGTCATTTCAGGCACAGGTGCGTGCCACCGCTGGCAGTCGGCAGCGGCGAAGTCGAAGCACTGCTGTCCGCTGCGATTGCGGCTCGGAAGTTGACCACCGCTTCTTTCTCCGTGATATGCCACCAGATTTCTTTATGCTCATACCGTGTATCAATCTCTTTCAGCCCATCCTCGCTGCGGGCAATGCCATATCGCTTGTGCCTCCTGTGGACAGCGGGGGGAGAAGGTCTGCAATGCTCCACGGATTGCCGGGCGGCGGTGCAGACGGCCACGATCTCGGCGGAGCTCAGCGGAGCGCGACTGGGACCGGGAGGGGAGGTCCGCTGGGAGGAATGATCGTTCGATGCTCGCAAGGTCTCGAAAGAGGGAGTCTGATACTCGGCCGTGGAGCTTCCGCCGTAATCTAACGCATCAGCTACATCTTTGACAGGCAAACAGACGCAGATACCATCTCCCACCGACTCGAGCGTGACGGAAGACGCACGAGCTGGGAAGGGATACCGATTGCTGGCTGATCAGGGGGTGAGCAAGCATGATGGGTTTGGTAGCCATGAGGTCTGCTTTGCGGGTGGTTGCCTGAGGCAGCGCGCTCGGCCCAGCCTCGTCGCAGCCAGCCTCGTCACGTGCCCAGCTAACCCTCCAGCATCGCTCATTCACGTCTTCTGACATCCATGGCGAAAAGGAGCCGAATACAGTAGTTGCGCGAGGCGGGATGACCAGTAGCGTGGGAAACAAGAGTGCCCTGGGAATTTGCAAAGGCAAGAACAGTCCTCGAAGACGTGCTCGTGCATCGACTTGAGCACGACTGGACAATGCAGTAATTGCTTCCCGCAGCGGCATTGGAAGCCTTGCCCAGCTTTTGCACATCCGTGTACGAGGAGGCGAGCAAAAGCGGCCGCCAACCAACCAACCACGCTTGGAACCCAGCCCAAAGTGCCTGACAAGCACCCATTCGTGGAAAATTGGGCGCCCGAGCTGGAGATTCCGCTTTGTTTCTCTGTGCCCCAAGCCATGTGTCCCAAGACATTAGCCAAAACATCTGATGAGGATTGCACCCAGAGCTGTACTCATACGAGGAAATCAAGCCAAAGAGACCGCGGAGAACGGAGTCCGCGGCATGCATCCAGTACGCTCAAGCGTGCCCAAGGACTCGTTGGGGGCGTTGCGAGAGGAGCTCAAACAAGCCCAGACCGCCCGGAAGGTAGCAAACTATGCCTGGTGTAGGCGCCAACTCCCACCATGCATCCAGTAGAAGATGTCTTTTTCATTGCACGATTATCTCAATAGATTAGGCGTCAACATCCATATCACTTCTGGCCATTTGCTAGATATGAAGGACAGGTGTGCACATGTCTCATACATTCATTCCACAAGGAATGCATGGCGGCTGGAGAATGCAGATCTTGAACAACCGGGTGTTCAGTCTCTTGCCAGGTGCAATTTGACGGGTGGGCTCAAATTCAACTGGGGGTGCAGGGCCAGCATTTTGGGGTTGTCAGCTCTCTAGGTAGGTAAAGGAATAGGTGGTGTTCTGGGCTTGAATCCAGGGGCCCAAGCCCTAAATCCAGCCAGTTTTAGGCGCCTGCATCCTCTATTACTACGCATGCCTACTGCTTTCCTCTATGCCTCTACCGAACCGCTCCCCAGTTATACCTACCACCTGCACCACCTCTGCAAACGGTGCATAGCCCAACACTGGCGGCGCCATGACTGACTGTCCTTTGAAGTAAAATTGTTCGATTCATGCGGCAGGGTCCTCGAAGAAAAGGGTGCAATCCGGCACAGTGGCACCAGCTGCCCACCACACTCGATGCACCGATCCAGAATCATCTTTCGAAACACCGCAGCCGTTGCCCTGGGTCATCTGCTCGCATAACATGGCTCCCGATGCTGCTGCCGTTGTCAACCACCGCTGGGGGCGAGAGTGCACTCAAGGCCCCTTTCGACAAGTTGCGGTCTTCTCAGATCTGCGACGCCCTATATACGCTGGAGCTCACGACTACACAGGCGCACTTGAGGGGTTGGCCACGGTGGTGGCGGGGTTATCACTGCTTTTTTATGGGCCAATCTAATCGCGACTTTCACTCACACAATCGTAACGGCCCGCAATGGTGCCAACGGGGTCAATCCCACGAATTTCTCCCGTGTGAACAAATGTTGCTGCAGCCGCTGCCGCAAGTATGTCGTGCATAGCTTGATGGTGCATATTGCGGCATCAGATTGCAGTCCCGTGAAGAGTCAGGATTTTGCAAGCTGACAGGAACGCCTTCACGTGACACTGCGTCTGAGTCAGCTTGCACTGACTCAGCTAAATACAAGCAAGGCTATCGCAATGTACATAGCAAGGCTGCCGCCTGTCAACGTTGAAGCGTTCTTCAAGCGTTGACATCGATATCAATAGACGAGTTATCTATCATCTTTGATCCTAGGTATCGCATTCGCCCTTCAGTTAGATTGCCGGTCTGATAGAACCACGCCTCCTGCACGTATAGCATGCGTGATCTTTGGCGGCGGCGGAAAGCAGCCCGCTATAATTGTGAACGTTTTTCCATACACCCGTCGTAGAGAAAGGGCCACCAATGAATGTTGACAGATTGAAATGGCCGCAGATTGGTGAAAAGGTAGGGAGATTAGAACATTCCAGCCCCCGCGCCCGAGGGGAATTCCTCGTCTGCCGAGCCCATCATGCCTCAGAATATGACAGAGTATCAACACGATGGTTGATGGGTGAATTGCAATACGAGAGCCTCTTTGAAAGGGCCGGGTTCTGTGCCTGCACGATCTCAACCGGCACCTTTGGTCAAGAGGTCTGGTCTAGCCGAACAGGACAAGGAGAGGTTCAGACAAATTCTTTGATCTGTGAATCCACATCAGCAACTCTAACGTTTGATCCAAGGTCAAGCTGGCGTTGAGCGCAGCACTCTAAGCTTGTCTAAAACCTTCCTGCTACTTCATCATTCCCACAAGTCTAAGGGGTTCGACTTGGGAATTGTGCCCTGGCGAGGAGCAGTGTTGCCAGGACTGCAGTCCATTGGTCATCCGCAAATGGAGCGATCTGATTGGTGGAACTAGGCTGAATCTCCGACCTGGTATAGACCTCGATCAATCCAGTGTTTCAGGCACTGCGAGGCCTCAAAAGATCTCGCTGAAAGGCGACTACGTTCCACGGCGCCAATTAGGTGGATGAGGCGCAAAAGACCATGTCTCTTCATACTAATCTGCCTATTATCTACACGCCGCGATGGTGTGGAACTACTCGATGAGCGAACACCGCTCGATATCGATGGCAGGGAGGGAGTAGAACCCCTGAGGAGATCAACGGCGAGTCCTGCGAGATCTGAACGTTGCTTTTTGCCAAAACCAACGTCAACGGGCCCCCAATTTGGCACGATCCCATCGCTTCCGGCTCAGAACATCTCTCAGCCTTTTCTCCGACCGAACCTCATGTCACCCGGACGCCGCCAGCATCTCTTGCTTGCTCCCAGAAACCCTTGCATCGCTTTGCACGCTTCCCCAATGAGGCAGGCTCATTCTTGCGCCCGACCTCCCGTCTTTTCGTGTTTTGCTTTCTTGCTGCTGGCTGTGGGGCGGCAGCTTCCAATCCCAGTCGACGGAGATCTGCCTCTCAGGCTGTAGCAGCCTCTCGACTCTGGGGCTGCACGGATGGCTCAGGCTCAGGCTCTGGCTTCGCCTCTGGCTCTGCACCATCACTACCGGCGACACCGCCGTGTATGCTGCACCGCGAGTGAGGCGCCGTGCAAGATTGGGCATAGCAGGGCAGATGCGGCTGGCCATGTGAACGTCGATTCGCGTACGGATGGGTTCCTCCTGGGACGTGCGGCCTGAGCGAATCGAGCGCTCGAGAAGCCACAGAACGCATCTGATCTCTTTGCTGTGCGTCGGACGATCGAATCGGTGGGCTGCCGTGCACTGAATTCGTCGTTACTCGTTTGCGCGAGCCGATGGTGGCCTAAACTTTAGACAACACGCGAGAGCTATAATTAAGAGGCGCTGATAACTTGCTGGTTGACCTCACCGTCGCTATACCTCACCGTCGCTATACCTCACCGTCGCTATACCTCACCGTCGCTATACCTCACCGTCGCTATACCTCGCCGTCGATACCTCGTCGTCGATACGGTAACGGCGAGGTAGCGACAGCAAGGTATCGCCGACAAGGTATTGCTAGTATGATCGCCTTGGTGCGATCGGTGGAGATCTCACGATTCCTCAATTGTGGCCTCTATTCGTGGGCACGCTGTTGCATATGGCAGGGAACACGTCGAGCGTCGCTTCATTGCAGGGCCTCGACGACGACGAGCATGGACTCCGCAATGCTGGACAGCTTCAACAGCGAGGTTCAAAGGGACAGGGCTACTTCATTGCGGCACCTCACGGGCTCAAATGACCGCCGACGAGGTGGAGATTGGGCAGACTCTTCACCACGGAGCGCCGACCATGCTACAGGTAGATCAACGAGTATGTTCAATACCTCCGGCATTGGTCTACCTCGCATTTACCTCATGATTAGCCCATCAAGGAGTCGCCGGGGACATTATGAGACTGGACAATATCATTCCACGACAGCACGACGGGGTCTGGGTTGGGCGGCCTCGGCGACGAACCGTTGGTCACCTCGGTAGACGACTTGCTTGGTTTGCGCTCAACTACATCCAATATCCGTCAACGTCGTTACGGTACAGCAACGGGACACGGCAACGAGATACAGCAAGGGGATACGGCGACGGGATACGGCGACGGGATACATCCCAAGTTCGATTCAAAGCGAGGATGGAACCATCCCAAGGACTGTCGCCGATGGAAGGAGTCCGGTGCCGGCGAAGTGTCAGCCATAACAAAGAGTCTAAACTCATTCTCATCGATGAACTCAAGATTCCAGGGCATGGTGTGCGCGAGCCGGTGCTCGCAGGCTTGGAGCGGAACGGTTGTTGAAGTGTACCATCAACAGCCCACGCTGAAGTGATATTCGCAGCACCATTGGCACCACGGGGTGCTAGACATCCGGCAAGTAACCTGACGGTCCGTCTTGTGACCGGAGGAGATACGTTGGCTCCTCTTCCAGACGATCCAACGCTTCCAAGGCCAGATCCTTCCCGGTTCTCCGAGGGAGTTCAACGTGAAGGAGAAGGGATTCCGCGCCGATAAGGTCCGTCGTGGCATCATCAAGTTTGTTGGTGAAGTGTACTGTGTACGTCGTATGCTCATCTCGATTTGATGGGCAGCCTCGGGCATTCAGGAGTCGTGTCCAGATCATGGGATGTCTGCCCAATCTCTGTGAACGGTTGACCAAATCTCATCGTCCACGACAGGTCCTCCATCATCTCTCATCACCAACATCGGTGGGTAGATGGCCTGGTTCAAGCATCGGATTCCGAAGGAAGACGTCGAGGCCTGTCAGCAGCTGCATCGGCGGTGGCAGCGGCTCCTGAGCGCGTCAGAGTCGCCATATGCTCTGTCATACTCCAGTTCCGTCGGATTGCACTGGCTCTCCTTCCAGCCAGAGCGAGCAAGTGGAACAGCAGTGCAGGGATAGTCCGCAAGTCAGGAAGACTCCTTGGGGCGAAGAGTCACCAGGAGCTTCAACATTCCCACGAACACGAGCGCGAAGAAGGCCATGGCCCAGGACCTAAGCAACGAGGAGAGGAAGTCGGTGCTCTCCAACTCCCCTCCAACGACACCAATAGCGAGTTGAACGGCAACGAGACTCCAGGCAAGCCCGCATCCACAGACAGGCCCAAAGCCGCGATCAGGCTCGCCAACCAGAACCAGAAGAGGGCGATGGGCACTCCCTCGGCCTCAGGCGCGTACGCCGCCACGACAAGGGCGATGAACACAACGAAGACAGGCAGTAGGAGAGTCATGATCGAGCGAGGCCTGTGAGCCCGAGTGGACGAGCCAGCAGTTGGGTCTGATCGACAAGGCGTGCAAAACCACGATCCCGGACCGTGATGGACGATCCCTGCAGACCCGTGGCGGACCCGGGAAACGAGTACTTCATCATCGGGGACGATGATCGCGGAGGATGGGAGCGCCGTGACCAGGGCGCCGGCCATGCTCCCCATGCTGAAGCCGAACCAATACACCGTCAGGCTCGGCAAGGGTAAGTTGTACTCCGACATTATCAACGGACCAAACTGGGTCCTGAATGAATCGACGATCAGGAAAGCGGTCATGGAGCGTTTGGGTTCAGAAACACATCCTGAACAAGCCCCTGCGCGGGGGATGGTCGGGGGCAGACCCGTCGTCCTTGGTATCCAGGTGGCTTTGTTCATGGAGGAGTCTCGAGGAGCGATAAGAGCCCAGTCCTTCGCACAGTCGTCGGGGATGTAGAATGGCCAAAGTTCCAGCCTGGACAAGCGCCACACCACAATCAATTGTGCATCCCCGAGTGGCGAGTACATCTTCAACATGAGCCGGATCGTCGGTGGCAATGCTAGACAGCATCGGCGAGTCACAAGCAATCTTCGAACAGCCGCGAGACCGCAACGTCTTTGGGTAAATCTGAATCCACGGATGAGTCCCATGAGGCGGTAGACATGCTTGCCGGCAAAGGTGTAATGGATTGCCTGGGTTGTCTTGTGTCGACGCGCAGCTCTTAGAACAAAGAACCCTCGAACAGGCCCAGTCACGACGAAGAGAGGTCGTTCGCAGAATGTTGGTAAACCACCTCGACTTGACGAAGAGATCTCGTTGACAGGATGCTCTGCCTCGACTTGACAGCGTGGTTGCCGTTTCACTGCTCTTAACGTATCCGTGAGCATGACAGCAGATGCTGGCCCGACCTGGCGCTTGTTGGACAGAGGAAACCACTTCGATGGTCACCAATCCCATGCACAACGTTGCCATCAGACGTCCCCTCGGGCTCCCGAAGGCTGAACGGGGTCTTATGCTTCTAACATCATTGCCTGAGACCGACTCGATCCCAAGACTTGTCCTTGTTTGTTCCAGCATTGCCTTCTCTTTCTCGTCAGTGGTCACAACCAACAGCCGGGAGTGGAAACGTCGGGACGTTCGTTCGGAGGTTCGTTCGTTCGTGGGTGGATGGGTAGGTAGGTTTCTGTTCTTCGACGGCATATGATGTGGGGGTACGCCTCTTGCAACAACAATTGGAAGAGTCTAACAGTGTCAGCGGTGCTCTATGGTAATTAGAAGAACCTGCCACTGATTCTTCTCGTCGGGTTCGAGTAGAAGGACCAGCGCCAGAGTCGTGAGGACCGATATGAGGTGCAGTTACGTACCTAGCATACAGCGACGGACCCAAAGGAAGCAGGTCAGGCAGGACAGGAACACCTTCACGGGTGGCGGACTCGAGGGCGGGCCACAACCACAGGCGGCCTCGTATCCAAGTCGAGGGGGCGGCGAGAGGAAGATACGGGCCGCGGAATGGCAGTCCTCTGCGGGCGCTTCAAGCGGTCGGAGCTGTTCAATTTCCACCGTCACGAGGGTGGACCGAGGAGTATACCGTCAGAGAGACCTTAATGGTCAAGGGTCATTGTCGTGCAGGCCATGACCGTGAACGGACTCAACAGCATCGACCAGCATCAACACCAGAGAATCGAACCCACGGAGAGCATCAACACCATAGAGAGTATTGTAGTGGACAGAGAGCATTGCGGTCCAAGTGCCTCGATTGCCTGGCGGTGGCTGTAAGGCACCACGAGAGGCGAGAGCGGTTCAATGGCTGTGGGCGACGAACCAAAGAGCTTGACTCGGTCCATCAAGACACCGTTGTGCCTAGCGATCGAGGTTGCTAACGCGGTCGATCTCGATGATGAGGAACAAGCGAACAGGACGCTGTTGTTGGTGAACCCACGAAGATACATCAATATCTGCAACGACGAAGAGGGAATCTCCTAACTCTTAAAGTCATTCATCTTGCCACCATCCTTGAGTACCCGATGGTCAAAGACCGGCGGTGAGTGTGCTTGTGCCTGTTCGTTATCGGCATCACGTTCGTGAACAGAATGAAGGCCGGAGAGGTAGAGCAACGTCCGGTGTGTCGTGCACCGAGCGCCAGGCACGTCAAAGCCTTGTCCGAGAACGCCGCAGACTCGAGAGCGGTCTTCTGAGAAGGTTGTTCTCAATCGTCACTCAATGGAGCGAGCAAGCTGGTCTCAAACCCCATAGCGGCGGATCACGTTGTTTACCGCGGCGGTACGACGGTCACCAGTACAGATGTTTACGCGGGGGTTGTTCGGGTCCAACAGCTTCACACGGGTGCGAAGACTGGAGAGCCTCAATCAAACTACGACGTTTTGCATGTCCGTATCCGAGTCCGTCTCTTGAGTCCGTCTCTATGTCTTTGGATCCCTGCATGGCTCTCCTGTCCGTTGTGGCTCACTTGGGGGAGCAATTAGGTGACGGGACACCTCTTCGAAGGGGGAGGCAGGACGATCTGGCAGCTGGTGCCGTAGGCTTCGTTCGATAGGAAGACGTGTTGATTTAGTAGCTGAATCCATCACCGAGCTGGCTTCAACAGCAAGGTGGCATTGCTGAAGGAGGAGGGAGATTTCATCCGGTCGGATTCGGTGAGGGACAGGCAGAAGCAGGCCTATTGGGGGGTGGTCGGTTCGCGGATCAAGACAATGCCACGAGCCATGCCATCTCAGACACGATGACATACCCTATTTTCCGTTCAGCTTGAAGAGGGGCTTATTCTGGGGGAAGTGGTGTCAATATGAGATCAAGAACATGCTGACGAGAGTGTGAGCTGAGGCAAAGGGAAGGGCGTTGATAGAGTTGCCGTCGTGGATATCCACGCCCTACTCTTGCTCGTCATGTTAGTTCAGAGGCAATCGACACAGGACGGTAAGGATTCTATAGAGGGGAGTGAAGTAAAGATGATCGAATCTGTGGTCTTGACACCAGCGAGGGAATGATGCATAGACCAAGGATGGGTTGGGACTTGGGACACCACGACACCCTCCAGGTTCAGCACCGACGACGATGCTCAAGAAGACGGATGGACAGAACGCTTGCGCAGAAGAGAGAAGTAATCACGATCAGGTGGCAGCGACACAGTTGGAATCGGAGCGGAGGGAAGAGTAGAACAAAGGAAAGAGGCCGCAATGGCCTAAGAGTCGTATTCACTCAGCTGCCTTAATGGCGTGTGCGGTGTGGTGGGCTATCTCTGAGGTATCTAAGAAGAAGAGGGAGGAGAGTTGCGTCAAGTGCAGTAGAAGTAGGTGGGCAGCCTATCCAAAAGGGGAAGGCGTGCCGGAGGTCATGTGACTCCAGCAGACGCCACACCCATCAGACTACAGCGAGAGCTGACGAATAATTGCAGCTACTTGTGCTCCTGACGATTCCACGGGCTCCATTTGCTTCGAGACGAGGTGTCTTCATGAAGCCGCAGAAGCTCCTCAAGAATGGCAAGAGGGCAGGGCCAGGTGAGTGTGACTTCAAGGTTGGGAGGTGGGCAGTGTCCTTGCTATGCGAGAAGCCCTGCTGAGTCAGTGCTAGCTGACTCAGGCTCGGTGTCACGTGAAGGCGTTCGTGATACTCTTTCAGCACTGTTCACCATGTGTCTGGCTGGAGGAGGACGACGAGGAGGTCTAAGAGTGTGAAACTCGATCAAACTTGCTGGAAAGGACCGTTTTCGACGATGTGCTGGTCTTCACGTTCACAGTTCGTGTTCTGAACAACGATTGATCATGGAGAAACGCGTCGGAACCGCACCACTGCTTTGTTATTGATACCCGGGAACATGGAAAGGGGTCGCCCAGGCCATCATCCTCAAGTACAGGGCAGACGGAGGGGATTTCGAGAGGGACGGAGACTGGCAGCATGGGGCCAATACTATAACGAAGAGCACCAAAAGCCTAAGCCTATTGTAGGTCTGTGCAAGCCCAGTCACGTTGCACCTGGGTGCGAAGCATTGCCGGAGGTCATACGGAGAAATGACCGACGCCAAGTGGTTTGCAGAAGCCCATGCCAAAGATAGGAACTTAACCGGACACCGCGGGAGAGGAGGGCGAGGGAGAGGAGGAGGAGGAGGAGGAGGAGGAGGAAGAGGTCGAGCAAGAGTGCGAAAAAGTGGGCGATGCGTTTGACCCTGAAAATTCAGCACACCCTCAGGAAACAGAGTGGGGCTGCAAGGTTTCTTAGTGCCCAAGATGGTTGCATCCCTTTGCATCCACTAATGCGCGGTCTACAACGGTCTGGCATCGGCTATTAGACTATATGCTAAAATTTCGCTTGCATTAGGTCATACATTAGCATTTTTAGTGTCGATCAGGTTGTGGAGACTTTAGCCGCCGTCCTAAACCCCACGTTTGCTTTGAACCCACGAAGTGGATCCATCCCCTTCAACCTTCGATCAGGCTGTGGGGACTTTAGCC